CTAGCGTCATGATGTTGAGCCCTGTTGAATGTGCACAAGGACTCTCCACATTCCTGGCTCTGCCTGCTTTGAACTGAGACTGACATCCTAATTGCTAATGGTTCTTTGTTAGCTCCAGGTTTGCCTTGACAGGATTAAACTAACAATAAACTCTCAGAGCTTTCAAAGAAACTGCCATCCATCCTCCTAATGCTGCAGGCCGTTCCCTTTATTGTAGCCCCTCGCTCTGATAGGTTTGCACACCAGCAGTTACCATGGTGAAAGCCTAAAGATGGCAGCTGAGGCAGATGGCCATTGTGTGGCCATGAATCTGAGAAACAAGTGTTACGGTTTAAAGCATGAAAGTACACGCCGTTAAAGAGAGAAACGGTTCAGCAATGTCCTACACAGCTGCAGCTGGATGGAAAGAAAGAGGTTACCAAGAGCCATGATTTGGTTTGCCCACAAAGAGGGCCGGTGACTCTCTCCTTAAATAAAGTCAGTCGTTGGAGATCACACTGTTCATTGTGCAAGACATCTTCCTTCACTAAGAGCGTGTGAAGTGCTCACAAACTTGCTTTATCGGGCATTCTCATGACCAAACCACAATTTGTTTTTGTAAAAAAAAGTTAACGCTGAAAACTAAATACAGGATCAAAATAAGACGAGCGACTGTTATGTGATCTGGGAAGGAGAACGCTGTAACACAGTCACAATGTTGTGAGATCTTTTGGGATACTGACCCATTCTATTGACAGACTGTGCTCAAAACACTGGCATTCTGTTGACCTTCATTCTTAGCGATTGGATGTAGGAAGGAATCAGCAGACCCCTGAATTAGGTCATGCGTTGTCCTTGGGTTCATTGCATAAAGACTGAATAGATCATGTGGGATCATCAGATGTGTTTACACAATTAGGCTTTTATGCATTGCTAGTTGCCAGCTCTGAAAGTCTGAATAAATATTGGTTCATATAGCCCACTGCAGGAATTGAAATTCTACACAAGTATAGTAGCGTGGCTATATGTACTGCAAGTGAACAGTCCAGTTCAGTTGACTCTGCGTTTTCATGGTGTAGGAAATGCCAGCGTGAGCTCCATTTATCAAACGATTGACTTTCTGTTGAAATATACCTCGAGCTTCATCACTTGGTTTTGGGATACTATGCCTATCACAGTAACTATTGCAGTTGAGAAACTAAAGTCTTCTTTGCGAGGTCTGACTTAAGATCTGAAAATCTTCAGTATGGTCACCAGCCTTCAGTCTTTTCTTCTCCATTCCAAACATTTCCGAAGTCCTTTCTCTAGAACAGGTATCCAGAAATCAGGTGTATACATTCCTACCAAATCTCCAGGAAGCAATATATACATCATCTTTCCAAACTGCCATGAATTTTCTACACGTTTCTTGTAAACCCGCAGAAATCATGTGTATGCCTCGCTAACAGATCTCCGAAAATCGTGTCTCTGAAAATCCAGCACTGGACTGAAGCATCAACTCTGTCGTGGAGTTTCAACCCACACATTCCGAGTCAGAGGCCAGAGTGCTATCAACTGACCTGGGTGTTATAACTGTTTGTGGGACTTTACTGGCACTAATGACTGCCACCTTTGCTTACAAAAATGGTCACTGTGTATGGTATTTACTTGGGAAGCTCTCTAAGTTGTTTTGATGTGATAAAGTGCTGGCTGGAAAGAGAGAAGAACACAAATGGAAGAATCGCTTACTATAATCTCCCAGGAAAACTACAGCAACAATTCAACACCGACTAGGTTAGCTTGTGTGCTGAGAAAATACTTTTTGAACTGTAAACAGAATAATTAGTATTTACTTGAACAAGATTGACCAGTGTACTTTCTATATCTCCGAGGGATGGCACATCCTGTTTATGTTGAGGGGCCCGAAGATCAGTGCAGTGAGTACAAAAACACAATGAAGTCATCACAAACTGCACTTGCAGTCTGGGCAAACAACTCAAACAAAACAACCTCTCAACTTCGGGTTTTTCCTCTGCAGCGTGTATCCTGTGGCGGCTCCCTCTGGAAGTCTAGCCGGGTAAGAAAACTCGGGCAAATTAGAAACAGGAGGAAACCACTCAGATCAATGCGGATTTCAGGCAATTCCATCTCATTCCAAGATGATTTCAGTATCTAAAATCTCCTGAATTCACTCCCAGGACGAGTTACGTTTGCCTCATTTGACAACATTCACTTTCATTTCTAATCAATTCTGTTTATAAAGTGCTTTGTGACATTTATTTTATGTGAAAGGAGGCTTCTAAAAATGGCATTTATTGTATCATTAGGTGTCTGGAATTCACACATCGCATTCCTTTACTTTGTAACTCAATACAGAATCACCCCAAAACAATTTCACGATTCCCCTTTGGTCCTGGGTGGGGTTTGCCCTCAATACAGATGAGTGATCCCCTGGCTTGGGGGTCAGACTCCGCCACTGTGAAGCTCTCAGGGATGCTACCCCGCGTGAAGGGCACTATAAAATGCAAGTTGTTGCTGTTGAGTGAGTGCCAGTAAAGCAGGTTGTGACAGGAATCCCAGGACAACCGCATTGTCAATGGGCCACAGCCCTAAACTGGAAGTCTGACGTATAACAAAAAGAATAATGTAATAGCAAAATCCAGGCAGGTTAGTGCAAGCGATCGCAAGAAGGCATGTGAAGAAATATGACGAAAGCTTTTATAACTGTCAAGGAAACCAACGTATATATGAAGGAGTCATTCCTTACAAAAAGATATTTATCTGCCAACGCAGACTAGTTATAATAATAAAGGGCGTTGTTCCACCAACCACTTATCAGGAAATCAACCCTAGCATTATGCATTACACATAAATCTGTACTTCAAGCAGTGGCAACCTTCATCACTTTTAATGAACGGACACAAGCCTATAATAAGCAGGGAAAGAACCCACTGCAACAGCACCTCAGCATTTCAGACCTTTCTCTTCTTTTTAGGTTAAGAAAGTTATTAAGTGTTTCAGTGTAATTGGCAATCACAGAGGGCCAGCGGGGCTAATGTGTCTGTTGCCCTGGAGAAGCTGAGACCCCCCCCCACTGCAGCCTCATTCATCAAGCCAAGACATGCTTTGTGTAAATCAGCTGCTTATAGGCTGGGTGCGGTGTGTGAGAAAGCACTTGATACTGACAGGAGGAGAAATAGACTAGCAACAAATTACACTCCAGACCAACACGGGACGGCATTCAACGGCAACTTAACGATAAGATAAAAATTGAAACTTGGGAAGGTGGATGGAAAGATAGACAATTGGAATCCAGAGGTAGTCACGTGGAACAGATCAGCTGGACAGATCCTAGCTGACACATCTGACAGAGAGCCGGAAAAAAACAAGAAGGTAGGGAGATGACAGGCGATAAATGGTGCAGAGTCTGCCTGTAAGCTTAAAGGCGTTGTTGATATATTATCTAAATACTACATGCTGTAGGCCATCTATATCCGAGGAAAGGGAGGGACTCGGTTTCAAACAACACTACTTAAAGCAATAGATTTACAACCACAACAACTACTTGCATTTATATAGCACCTTTCATCCTGGATAGCATATACAGCAAGCTACTGACTGAAAATCTTGCTGAGCCATCGGATGCCCTAGACTGCTCTGTTTCAGAGAAGTGGCTGTTGAATAAGGATTGTGGAGTTCAACAACCAATCAATCTATCGGGGCTACTGCAAAGGTTCATTTGTGGAACTTATTTGATTGATTGTTCTGAGATGATAGATGTGATGGGTGACACGACAGCAGGAGTCAATTGCTGATGGTAACATTCATATTTAGTTCCTGTCAGACCTGCCTTAAGCAAATAATGAGATAGACCAACTCGGCGCTCAATACCCCCATTGAAACGGATGAGAATGTGGTGTCAATTTTGGTCCATCACTTATTGTGTCAATCGAATGCTCATGTACGTGACATAATTTTCATCATATGGTGGGTAGATGTGAACAGTGGCTGAAGGGACCCTGTCTTTTTGGCACTCGTGTACTTCTCCTACTGCATGTGGTTTCTGGCACCGAAAGCACCACAGTAAACTAGTGGGGGAATGCTAAATGAAGCATTGGATACCTCAGGCTTATACAGGACTTTTATTTCTCGGTCACTAAATAGGTTACATAATATCTTGGCTCTTGTTGAAATGCACAGCAAATATCTGGGAGCGAGTTACCAATCTATGATCTAGTTTTAAGGCGTTCTAATGACACTATAAATTGCACGTTTGAAATTTGAGCATCGTATAACTATCCCCCGATCAGCTATTACTGAGTGAACCCTGTATCTGATGTGCCGCTTAAGTACATGTGCTGCGTCATTCATTGGGAAGGTTCTGCTCCATTTATCTTTGAAACGTTTGGTTTTTGGCGATTTGTTTCACGCTCTTTAAGGTCAGTGCTCGGAACAGAAAATGTTTCCATATTTGGCACCTGATGTGGAAGCAGTAATGCTCTGAGGTCAGGTGTACAAAGACCGGCAGCTGAGCAATGCTTCTACACTTTCTGTGTCGAGGTCTAAATCCCGGGCAATTCACATGTTCCTTAAAATACGGAATCTAAGAGGGATTTCCTTCGGATAACGAGAAGAACCACAGGGAACTCCGTTCCTCCCTCCATATATAGGAACATGGGAACAGGAGTAGGCCATTCAGACCCTCAAGCCTGTTCTGCCATTTTAATTGATCATGGCTGATCTGTACCTCAATTCTAATTACCCGCCTTTGGCCCATATCCCTTGATACATTTTATTCTGACCAAACAAAAACCTGTCCACCTCAGTCTTGAAAATTTGACTGGATCCAGCATCCATAGCCTTTGGGAGGAGAGAGTTCCAGATTTCCGCTATCTTTTGCATGACAAAATGCTTCCTGATTTCATTCTCATCTAATAGGGGATTCCTTTGGATAACTAGAAGACCCACAGGGAAGTCCGCCTCTCACGTTCAGACCCTCGTTTCACAACTTTAATAGCTTCCTCTTTCTTTGCAGGTGCCGGTCGGTGTCTCCGGCCCCTCTGCGGACTCCGGTGAGAAGCCCACGTATCCGCTGAGCGACGGTGAAGACTCCTACAGGCCTGCTCGCTATGCCCGCGTCTCAGCCCCACGCCTGAGTCTGAGGGATTGTGGCTCGGGAGAAGCTACCCCCAGAAGCAGCTTCCTGCACTCGTGTAACATTGAATCTCGCAGCCCATTACTGAAGGCTGTGAGCATCGGGTGCCTGGATAGAAACAGGCCAGCCGACAAGGTCAAGGGAGCCGGAGATCAGAAGCAGCTAGGGGACGATTGCCCCGAGGGTCTGAGCGGGGATGGGATAGGAGTTAACCCAGTCAAACGCAGGGCGCTGTCTTTGGGAACCGCCACTGCAATCCGCAACCTCTCGCTCAGCAGAACCAGTGTACGGTCTCAGACTCAGGACATCAGGCAGAAGATTTCAGAATGGGAATGCAGGAAGGCAATGTCTCCCAGGCACAGTCTGATGCTGGACAAGAGAAAGCTTGGAGATAGGGGTAGCAGTGAGGGCTGCCCCAGTGTGCTGCCTTCACCGTGCAGCGAAAAAACCTTTGATCTGACGGGATTCAGAACGATGAGTAGGTCATTCTCGGAGTGTTCGTACCCTGAGACTGAGGACGAGGTCCTTGATAAAGAGCCACTGGCCAGATATGAGAAAGTGCTTGGGAGAACCCAGTCTCCTAACACTTTCGTCAAAGAATACTCCAGGAAACAGACTTCTGCCGTACTGTGCAGGATTCAGAAAATTGAGCAAACTCTCAAGGAAAGCCCCAATAAAGACCTTCCACAGTTGCCCAGCAGCTGCTATGCGAAGGAACTACTGAGGAGAAAATCTTTAGCCTTGAGTGTATCGGAGGATGTCCGAGAGATGGGGAGCATCACAAAGTGCGGCAGTGCTGACCCGGAGCTGACAGAGGCTGACTCTGACCCTGTGCTGGAGCAAACCCAGGTGCAACAAGAGCGAGGGCAGGGCACAGACAGTTCTTATCACAAGCCAGGACTGCCCGCCGAGGAGTCGCCCGGCATTGTGGTCAACCCTGTGCCAAAACCCAAACGCACCTTTGAATACGAAGCTGATAAAAACCATAGGAGCACTCCCAACAACAGCCTACCTCCCACCCCACCCCCAGCCTCGCCACCTCCTCTCCCTTCCACTCCCGCCCCTCCCGTCACCAGGAGACAGAAAAAAGATTTAAACCTTCACAGAAAGATCCACAACAGGTAATGTGACACCTTCCAGCTTGACTGCAGTAAAGGGGCTGGGTTATCAAAATTAAAACAAGTAAAAGCTGAAACAATTGGGATGTTTAAAATGATGATGGCTAGATACTTGAGAAGTAAGGGTGTAAAGGGGTGGGGGGAAAAGTTGAGAAGTTTGGGCACTTTATATTCTCACAATTTATGCTTAAAAATACATGTTTTTCCAGAGCTAGCACGACTGGTGATGGAATGTAGGAATGAGGTGTGACATGTCTGGTTTTAGCAATTTTCCCAGCAATTCCCAACTGTGTTGATTGCTCTGTTGCTTCTCCGGATCATTTTGAACAGCTACATTGGAAGCCGTAAGGAGGCTTGGCCGTTGGCCAAGTACAATCTTCACTGGTAGCTTTGTCGCTCTCTCGGATGGCGCTTCCCTGTAATGCTCATCTTCAACGGTAAATCTTCCTTTCTTACACCTTGAATTCTTACTAATCTTCACTTACATGGTTGCTGCTGATGGTGCTTTGCTAAACATCATCGCAACAACTTGTATTTGTATAGCGCCTTTCACGCGAGGTAGCGTCTCACAGTGCTTAACAGTGGTGGATCTGAACACCAGCAGCATGCGGTGGTGGATATGCTGCAGTCAGACCAATCCAGAGCTTGCCTGCACCACACAACAGATTTAAGTCCCATAAAAGTTTTTTTTTTAACATTAGGAATTGGTGCAGGATTTGGTTCAGTGCAAGTGCTGGTAACAGGAAATAGGGCCTTCAGCCAAAGCCCAGAGGAGCTTCCCTCAGTCACCAGTGCAATATTTCCATTTCCCACACTGTGTGTTCTTACAGGCTCTGTAACAATATTGCCAAACTAATGCCAAGTGGGCTAAATGTGAGGGGATATTTATGTTGCACACTTCCATCCGCTGGGAGCCAGATTGAAACTGGCCAAATATCTTTCAATTAGGACCTGTACAGCTGTCAAGCTGACAAGAATTTCACCTTCATTGGGACTGAATTTGAGCCCAGGGTCCAGAGATGGCACAAGGCCGGGCTATAACTTAATCTGTGCCAAGCAGAACCACCTGGAGAGTGTGCAGACCACCCATTGATACCCCATGTAGAGAAACTGTACCCAGAGGGAGATTGTGAGTGTTGTTCACCCCAGTGCAGCCTGTGCACTAGAGAAACATAATTGTGAGAAGCAGGGAGTTCCTGGGAGAGTCCTTGCAGCACGTACCCAGTATGATAGACAAAGCACAGGCATTGTGGAGTCCTGTAGCTCAGTGGTTAGAGCACTCGCTTTGCAAGCGAGAGACCCGAGTTCAATTCCAGGTAGAGGGCGAAACCTTGGGCAAGTTTCCTTACTCCACACAGAGCCTAATAATAATCCCTCCAAAACCAAAAACAATAACAAATTGGTCATTTTCAATCTACGACTGTTTGTGGGACATTGCTGTGCGCAATTGGCTGCTGCATTCGCCCACAAATATATAGTCAATTCACTTTACAGTGGGTTCTGTGAAGCGCTTTGGGACGTCCTCCCGACGTGAAAGAGCGATATCAAATGCAAGGATTATTATTATTACTTTAGTATACATTGAACAGTGACAATAGATTTATTATTCAGATTACTAATCCCCTCGTTTCATATTGGACGTGAGAATAAGAGAATTGTCACACTTGGTGTGATGTGCCTGTGTGCATTTTATTGTATGATACAGGATAACCATAGTAGTTCCCTTGTGAAAATATGAAGCCATCAGTGCCGTACAGTGGCAGACTTTTTACAATGCACATTTATACGCCCCTAGCACAATGGCACTCATCACAAACATTTCACAGTACGCTACTTCATGTGACTTGTTCACATAACTGGATGTGATTGTGTGTGTGTGTGATTTCTCCCTCCAGGGCCTCTCTTGGGTTTTAAGTTACTGATTTGCTGCTTGGAGCCCTTAGACCGTCAATAAATATTGCTAAAGTGCTGGTTACATTCCAAAGGGATGAATTGTGTGAGGAGGCTCAGTGAAATTCTGAGACGCTGTTATTTGCGTAAATTTGCTACTGATGTTCGGGCATTGTGATCCTGAGGTTTTTGGGCTCTTATCATCAGTGAATGGGTTAACGCTGAGAGTGATTTGATGAACGTTTGATAACCGCAGAAATATTTGTCCATTTGATTTCAAAGCTATTCCATACAGGCCATAACAACAACAACAACAACTTGGATTTATCTAGAGCCCTCCATGCCGGACGGCGTCTCAGAATGTCTGACTTAATTGTTCAGTATTAATATGTATAATATATAATTGTTCAGTGTTAATATATAATAATAATAATAATCCTTGCATTTGATATCGGACCTTATCACGTCATTGAGATGTCTCAAAACGCTTCACAGAATATTTTGTAACGTGTATTGACTGTGTATTTTGTGGGCGAAACGTGGCAGCCAATTGTGCACAGCAGGGTTCCACAAAGCAACTGAAATCTTAAATCAACTTCAGAACGGACTGAGACATCTCTAGGCTTTGTTCAATCCATTTGCTCGCTTCTGTAACGGTTTGCTGTAGAAAAATAAATATTCTGCTGAGAAATCTGAAATATAGCCACAAGGCTGCCACTCAACCATTCCCGGCATTTCCTGACAGGATTAAGGTGTTTGCTGCAGTGCTTTGTGTCTGAGACTCTTCACTGGAGAAATATAAGCAAAGGAAGCCCTTCAGTCCATTTGATCTGATCCTTACAGAGTACCGACCTTACTGTCAACCCATCACAGAGCCAAGCTGGGTTTTCAGTGAGAGCTGTGGTTGTGGCTGTTGTGTTCCACATGAGAGACATGGTTGATATAGTTGACTGTGACTGAAGCTTGAACTGTCTCTAAATCATATCTGGCCTCTTGAACAGACACCCAGCTGTTTGCAGAGTAGGTCAGTCTGCCTTCTTTTCTGTGAATTTTCCATTTCATTTTTGCCGTTGGTGACATTGTCGATTGCAGCTGCCAGTTTTACCTTACGAGCAACCAAGTATTATCTTGGAGGAAAGTCATGTGTGTGACACTTAACAAGGAATGTAAAAGCATCAGTTGACATGACGAAAGTTTTAAGTTTTTCATTTTATTGCGAAGAGCAGAAAAAAAGCCATCAATTCAACTCCCGGGAGCTCAGCCCCAACCCAAAACGGAGCCTATCTAGTCAACCCTATTCCACCCGCAGAACTACAGTATTAACAATATAACAACTTGCATTTATATAGCGCCCTTCATGTGGGGTAGCATCTTGGAGCACTTTGTCACGTTGTTGAAATGACTGAAGAGGAATATATTATCCTTTCTACTAGATTTATATATTGATTATAATGCAGTTGCTTAAATCCCGGGTGAAATTTAGGCAAGGTTCCCCTTCCTGCTCACAATCTCCTGCTAGATGACGTGTGAGTATGTGTTAATGTGTTTGTGTGTGTGCAAACAGGATTAGGCTCAGATGTGATTCTTCCTTCCTGTTCCCTACCTCTCCCCCCACCCCCCCGCCCCCACACCCACCACCATCAGATTGAACACTGATGTGTTCTTACACTCTGCCTACACTAACCGACTAGGCTCACACATGCCAGAATGATGACTTGGTTGAGGTACAGGAGAAATGCTGGCTTTCGTGAACTGTACTCCTGACGAAAGGGAGAGAGAATTAGGAGAAATGCAATTCCATAGAAAGAGCAGGTGAGGCCTTTATGAGAACAAGTCCTCAGAGAGGCCATCCCACAGCATGTCTCAAACACCTAATTTATTTTGTGTAAAAGGTGGAAGCTTTTCTCCAGTTGTTTACAGCTGCCTGGGTTTTCACTGACCTGCTGCAGGATCGGTGGGTTGTGGTCTGGGGATGGACAAGTTGGTTATTTTTAGCTGCGGTTCACAAAAGCCCAGATTCAAGCAGAACATTTCTTGACAATGTGGCAGGATGTTAATCAGGGATCCGTGATATCAGTGGCCTGATTAAACAGCCCTGGGATTTAGTGCAAGTGATAAGCGAAGTGCTCAGTTTCAGGCAACTTTCTTCATCCGAAAAAATAAATTAAAAGTGGAATTAGGGGAGAATTTGGCAGAGTGGGGGTAAGAGATAAGTGTCAGTTCACAGTCTGAGCAAAACCATTCCTCAAGATTTGCTCGTGCTCTAAAGACAGATGCCTGAATGGTCTGAAAGGTCAGTCTGATGTCTACTGACGCTCTCTTCTGTGTTTTGACAGGAAATCTAAGGAGTTTGAAGATGTAATCAGCCTTCGGTCTTCTCAACCCCCCTCCCCTACTGAAAATGGTACGTCTTCCTCTCCTCTGGAGACACACAGCAGAGTCAGTTCAAAAAGCACTTTAGGAGAAGAGAATGCATACGAAGACATCATAGGTAAGAACCAAGGGTCAAGGCACAAACTTACCTTCATTTCACAAAATATAATTGCTGTTGTGTTTATTGATACAAAAAGAGATGAAACTGATGAAATGCTTTTTGGCTCAGAACATTGCTCTCCTGTCACATTACTACATTCTGAGAGGCCATAATCAGTGGCATTTAGCAGCCGATCTGTACAGAATTGATTTTTGCACAAATTATACTTGTTAATAATAATAATATGATTAATAATTCTTGTTATGGCCAGTCAGTGTTTCCAAGATGCTAATAATCTCTGTTATCAATACAAAGGATTGAGGACATAGCTTTGAAAGAGTGAACATTCACCTGTACTTTATTTATGCAGTTCACATTGCTGTCGATGATAATATTAGATGGGGTTCAGAGCAGCATGCTGCAAAAAATGGTGCATTTAGGAGACACCCTGTGGCTTTACATCATTCCAGACCTCTTGTCTGACATATTCAGGAGCCATTTCATACCATGTGACATTCATATAGAAATCTCAATAAGTTTTCAGTACTGAACTTGGATTGAAGAATTGGGACTGATTCTCCCCATCATCCAGCTGTCCAAAAGCAACCCTAAAAATAGGATGACAGGAGGTCAATCACATCTTACTGGAAATTGCATGTGCCCATTGCTTGTAGGGAGTGAAAAATATTGTTTTGTAGCAGCAGTGCTAACAGACACTTGGGATGCGAATTCCTCCCAACGTGAAAGGCGCTGTATAAACGCAATTTGTTGTTGGTGGTGGTTCTGCTTTTTCTTCTTTTTGTTAAATCTTCCTGTGAGAATTTAACCAATGATTGCTGCCTAGTATGGCACTGAGTCAATAGACATGGACATTCCCAGGTTCTGACTTTGATCTGTGCTGAATTAGTTGATCCCACCCAGGCATGTAATCGTGTGCACTACAACTGATTTCAAACACTTTGGTGTACAGAAGGGGAAATAAGGATCCAGATTGTGATGCGTGTTTCCCGTTGGATGATGAAACATGTCAAGGGAGGATAGGGTTTTGCTCAACTGGACTCACACAGGCTACTGACACTCTTCAGGGTTAGGCATTCAGATTAAAGATGACCAATTGGGTGAGATACTGGAGAGTGACTGATAGCCATGGAAACAATTCTTCTGCATGCGTCAGTCCCATCGGGAGAGAAGAGCGGAGAAACTTTGAAGTGAACAATCCATCACTCGGCACCATCCTGTCTCTCACACAAACAAGACTCGTGAGCCAAAACCACAATTAAATCCCAATTTGTATTCGTAACATGACAACGATGGACAGAGTGCTTGAATAGAGTGAAATGTACAACCACATATTGTGGCACTGTACAATAATTGGCATACATGTGAAAGTCAAATTCATCCCCTGGATGGCATGTTGCCAAGTGATGTGTGCCGTAGGACTGAGGGTTCATTGCATTGTCAGAGGTGTTGATTTTCAGATCAGATGCTCAACCAAGGTTTTGTCTGTTTTGTCGGTTCAGGTGAATCTAAAACGATCCATGGAATTATGTCAAAAAGGAGCCAATTGTTGTTTCCAGGCTTATATTCCTCTGTCACAAAAATTCACCTGAACAAATCAGATTAACGTTGCTGTGTGTGGGATAAAGGGGTTTCATTTGCAAGAGTCACGCAGCGATTTGTAACTGTTGTGAAATTGATGTTATCCGGGTGTGTTGATCGCCGACCCATCACCTTGTATATAGACAACAATCTCCATACAAAAGGAGGCTCTTAATGTGATCAACCGCCAACTCATCTCGGTACCTGCAGGATTCACTTGTTACAAATCCTTTTTCAACTGTTGCAAATTAGACCCAATTGTTGTCCAAATTGGTTGCAGCGTTTTACCTAACAATCACTGCCCTTCAAAGTAATTCAGTGTATCAAGCGCGTTCTCATAAATTGCAAGTATTTATCTTATTACATTGGCTTCCTCCACTGTCATTAGTGCCACTGAGAAGCACCATGCCTTGAACTCTTATAGTCCCGCGGGAGATTGAATATTGGCTCTAGAGACTGAAGGAGTCATTTGCCAAACCACTCCAACCATGTTAGAACTCTCAAACAGCGATATTTGGGTCAAATTTGTGGTATTTCTCAATATGAAATGTGTTATTATTGAATTTCTGAAATATCAGTTGTATTCTTCAACTCTGCCAATTTAGATATTTGATAACCAAACATTTCTGTTTAAGAAATCTGTTAAGAAATCTTGCAAAATAGACCTCATTTGCATCGATTTATTGTGGGAATCCAATTGAACGATTGCTCGTTTGTGTGTTAAGTCGTTCTTGGGGCTTGAAGGGTATTAATTTGCTTTGTTTGGAAGGCAATTGGTTAACAATATCAGCCTCCTGTAGAAAGCCGACTTGATGCGGTTGAGCATATTCTGCTCTCAGATGCCAGAAACCACATGTGTGTTTTGTTCAGCCACTCTGACTGGAGTCTGAGAAATGTTACAGCTCTGGTTCAGATTTATATTGCATTGCTTGACATGTTTTTGACCTGCTTCCAGCTGACCCAAATATTTCTAGCTGTGGGTTAACGTAACTCAGAGATTTTCGTTTCAGCATTTTTCATTTTACCCGCATTAAACCAAACGTTAAGCAGTATGAGGAGCAGATCTGCTTAGTTATTGTGTGAAGAATTAAAGCTGGTTGTGAAATTTGGGGAGAAAGCAAGATAGAAAGCGCCAAGCGGTATCAGCTGTTGCCCTTGGGGTCCATCACTAAGTGGAAACCCTATGTGAACAGGAGTGCTGAAGTATTAGTCTCTTCCTCTTCACCCCATTCATAGTACAGTGTGATCTTTTTGGCATCTGTGAGCCTGGACAGTAAGCGTCAACAGGCTGTTCTACCATGCGAAGCATCTGAGCCCCGTGCAAAACCATTCACACCTGACAACCAGTCACCAGGAGCCATTGGGAGCTGGAAATCCTGACTGACTTTATTCTTCCTTAGTTCAGGGGCACAGAGATCACTTTTAACAGTTCCTACCACCACTTGGTTGAGATCAGCTAACACTATGCGGTTCAGGAATTGAACTTGGGACCTTTCTGGTGTATACTTTCAGGTTCCATACTTGGCAAGTGAACTGTCGGTGGAGCCTGGGTGCTTAAAGTTAATCTGAAAGTGAGAGGAGGGATGAATCTGATTAATACTGTCCAGGTTGAAACTTGCAGAGTTCCAAAAGTGTTAGAACTTCGCTTCCTGTGAAAATTACAAGTACCAACACGCTTTCCAAAATTTCTGTCGGTCATACACTGCGTTGTGGAGGATTAAAGGTTTGCTATTTTATGACACAGAAAACAACATCTTAATGTGTGAATTCTCATTCTGAGAGGCTGTATCTCGAGATGCTTTGGCCTTGAGCTGTTACTTCCTCTCCCACTGCCAGCGGAAACATTCCACAGCAACTGTTTATCTGGCGCACTAATTGAAACAATATTAGAGATACTAAAACTCATGAAACTGGGCTTCTTAAAGGTAAAACGTTTTTTTGGGGTGGAGGGGGGGTTCTTAAGAGCAATGTAAGAGCGTGTGTACAGTTGAGCAGAGTTGTGAACGTTGTCCAACCTTAAGCTTTGGAGAATGAGTCACCAAACTCATTGCACAAACCAATCCTTGAACAACCATGCGGAGTGGGTTGAAGTCACATCCTGGCTGATGACGCCAGAGCTGCCTGACTTTGTCGACTATTGTGTGCAACTTCGGGAAGAGGCTGGCTTAAAAGAGAGCAGCCCCGGTCTTAAATGACACTTCATTCTTTTGCAAAGCACTGGACAAAACACGAGCAAAAAGAGAAAAGAAAAAAGAGCTCAAGCGACACCGAGAAAGGCAGAAGCGAAAAAAAAAACCTAACTAACAGCAAACAGCAGTGTGTCTCGTGCTGCCAAACGAGGAAATATTTTTAGATTCACATGACTCTGTTGAATCAGTTCAGCCTGTTGTTTTTTTCCCCCTGCGCTGCTTCACAGATACACCCAAAGAAAGCCCTTACGAAGATGTGGAGCTGAAAGGCCGCTACCCTGGCAGAAGGTCCCAGCTGTCATCCGAGACCTCCCTCGAGTCTTTGCACAGGATGTGGTCTCCTCAGGACAGGAAGTACACCACACCTCCCCAGGTAATTCCGCACGTTAACTCGGCGCGGACGTTTATTCAGCTCCCACGCAGGAAGACCTCTGGCTTGGTTTGTTTGTACAAGGTCGAAAGGCACCAGGAAAAAGAGGGGGAGGGGGCGGCGGGGGGTGGTGGGGGTGGTCGGGGGTGGTGGGGGGGGTGGCAGAAAGCACTGAGAAAACGAGGATTTTTATTGTGCTCTTCAGCCAAACCCAGCTGAAATTTTTAAAGTTTTATCGTCCACAACTTTATCAACAGCAGGTACAGCGGGGAATGTTCAAAATCTCAATTTTAAAAAAAAACACAACAGGAATTACTTGCAAAGTGTTAAGCTAACTGTGTTTCCGGGCTGGCCGGACGCTGGTGATGGTGTTTGGGGCTCCCTTCTGATTTTACGCCAAGAAACACTGAAGTTATAGGTTACGAGGGAAAACATAAAGTTAACTAATCAAAACACCGGTCATAAAAAAAAACATGTTGGTTTCATCGGATGTTAGCTTAATTTTCAGATGTTTGAAGACCAGGAAAATTCTGCAAGAAACGTTAATATTTGGTTAGCGTAAACTGCTTTCATTTCACAGGTGTGAAAACGGAGCCTGATTGACTGGGCTCTGCATTTGCTAGTGGAGGTACTGCCATATCTAGCACTGGGTACTATTGTTGTGCCTGGCTATACTGAGAGTATTCTGTTAGCTGAGTCTCAGGTATGAGTAAAGTGCACTGCCAAGGCTCTGTAGTTCAGTTGGGTCACTTCTGGTTTGTTGAGGGGGGTGTAGACAAACAGGATCTTGAAAGAGAAGAATGATACGAAGTGAGGTGCTTGAAGGATGGGGAGGTACCAGAGTAGAGAGATAGACTGTCTGGGAGATGAGGGCAACCTGCCATTACGGTGTTTTGGTGCAGGGAGTGTGGTGGAAGGTGTTTCCAGATGGGTAGCCTGCAATGAGGAGGAGGAGGAGGTGGAGGAGGAGGAGGTGACTCGGGGACAGACATATTTCAGTGAGTCCAAGGAGGTGGAGCTTTGATGGGATTGTGGATGAGAGCTTGATTTGAGAGGGAGCGGACATTTTGAAGAGCAATTTGCACTGGGACACAATGGGGAAGATAACTGGGGAGGACAAAGAAGGGGTGGGGTGTTGTGATTTGTAGGGAATGGGCAGCTGTGAAGTTTGCCGGAGTATTTGGGAGGGGAAGGAAGAGGGTTCCTGCTTCTGATCCCTGTTGAATGCTGTGGACATCAGGAGAGGAAATGACTTTTGGGTCCTAGCTTCTCAAGTATCTCAAACGTTAGACAGTTTTCAAATTCGTTCTTGATTTTTGAAGCCAGTTTTAAGGAGCCTACAGAAAACAGGTTTCAAATTAGGATTGAATTTAAGATTCACCCAAAGTTTGCACACTCTGAAATGCTAAGAAAAGGTAAGATTACTCAGGTGATGAGAGACTTGGACTGATATCCACTGTGGTTAAATAACCTGCCACACACACTCGCGCTAAAGAATCTCTCTCTCGCATGAGTAATTACCACTTGGCTGAGACACTGGAGGGGGGAGGGGTGGGTGGGGGCAGCTGTAAGTGGAACCATTCCCCAGCAGCAGGGGTGGGAAAGGTATCAAAGAGGAGGGAGAGACGAACAAGGAGACACAAAAACGGCTGCGATAGTGTATAAGTCGCATTACCTGTTTCGTGCCCGGGTTTATGTCCCAACCACCTGAAAATACAAATCCCTGCAAGTATAGACAAATTATAGTACGTTCAGAATTTGCATAAATAACGTACAACACAGAGGTGCTGCGACAGCCCTCAGAGAGTTGATGAGGATGGTAGCAGGAACGGCCAGTGTTCAGTTCTGTGCCTTCCAGATCTCCTGAAACAAACAGACTCACCGCATAGTTACGACTATGTAAAATCTCAGCTGTATAACATGAACGGCCACAGCCGGATGAGCTGAACAGGCCTGGTTAGAACTAAGCAGCGAAAGGCAAAAGTGCTGCTTTAACCCTTCCAATGCTGGCGTTTACATTTTAACACCAACAGATGTATTTATTTTCCGTGCTACTGATGGAGGAATAGTTAACTGCTAAGTGATGCTGAGTCACATCACAGAGCCGGGAAATTCCACATTCCACCTTTACGCTGTGCTTTGTTAGCTGGTCTCAGCCAGGACAAGGGCAGCTGAGCTATGATTGCCTTTGATTAGGGAAAGGGAGAGGAGGGAATATAAATGAGCCAGGGTTTCTGCTCCAGGTCTCTATTCAGAGAGTTGTATGTGTGAGGATATCTGAGGAAAGGATCGGATTTGGCTGTGATCCCTCCATGGTTGAATAGGCTGCCGACAGCCACTGTGCTGACTCACACATGAAGATTGGTTTCTTAGGCCGGGCACTGGGTACTTTTATTCCCTAATCGTTCAGTGTGGTTTATGCACATTATTCATTGCACTTCTAATGTGGTCAACCTGGTCTCTGACACATGTGGAAACCTATCCCGTGCTTAAGGGTATCCAAATAGTCCACATATGTATACCACCCACACATGGAAATTTCCCTGTGTCTGGAATGCAGTGTATGCTCTCCCTGGAGTGTTGTAACCTGCCTCAGCTAATTCCAGCGAGTACTAGGCGCATGTTGGCAAGAGCCAAGGCTCCAGCGTGCACATTGAGGTACTGCTGGAGTTTAACCAGCTAAAACCACATAGTCAGCCTTTGAGAACACTGTCTAGACCACCCTACCCATTGGGGCTTTGTCTTGCAGGATTAACAAGAGCTGATTGGGAAGAATTCCTGGTCCCAGTCAAGGCACTAATCAGCAGAGGTTATGGAGCAGTACATTTGGAATGTAAATAAAAAGGAATCTGTGGCTCAAAAAAAATTGTCACTAGATTTTAGGTGGTGCTGGGAGCCAGTTAGATGGTGTCCCAGTGCGAAAGGGAGCACTTTAATACAGTAGTGTTCGTTGTTTGCACTGGTGCCAGGCATACTGCTGTGCGTTACAGCTGAAGGGAGCTTTGGGGAGACAAACAATGCAGGGACAAGAGCGGCTTCACATGCAAAATGTCTGGGAAAAAAGGCTGTTTGTATTTACTTTATTAAAACCCAGTCGCAATTGGCGTAAACCCCACACTGGGCCTGTGAAGTTGCAAAGCAGAAACAAGTAGGAGAGCCCCTATTCACAAAAGCACAGCATTGGAGGTCTTTAAGACAACTTTGCTCCTTTTAAATGTTGAAAGAAAACGAGAAAATGAGCCTTTAACATGGGTTCGACCTCATCAACAACATGGCGGGACATTTACTCTCCCTCCTTGCTGCCTTTGTTCGTAGTTAATGTTCAGTCATTTGGATCATTGAAGATTGACACTTATGTTAGTCAGTGGTAAAACCGCACAATATTTGTTTAAAAAGCCACCTGTGGTCATAAGTAATCTTTGCTTCAGTTAAAATGAAGTAATAATAATAAATCTTGTATTTGATAAAAGTGCCTATAACGTCTCAAAGCACTTTGGATAGTTTCTGTGAAGTGTACTAACAATGTACTGTGTACTGCAAATGTGCAGCCAATTTTCACCAGCAATGTCCCTCAGACAGCCACCCACAAAGTGAATGACCAATTTTATCTAGGGCATCATTGGCCAGGACAATAGGAGAAACTTCTTCCACTTTCCGAATAGTGCCACCAGATCTTTAATGTCCATCTCAATTGGCAAACAAGACCTTGGTTTAACATATCATCCGAAGGATGCCACCTCTGACAATGCAGGGTCAGCTTGACCTCAACGTCCTCACTTGGCCTTGAACCCACAAGCTTTTGAAGTTGGTGCTATGAAGAACTAAAGACCAAGGATATTTAAAGTGATGTTATATTTCACAATTGTATGCCAGTGTTGAAGTACAATAGACAACAGTAAATCCTGAATTGGCAATACAGCCTTCTCATAATCCATCTTGGGAGCAATGGTTGCATCACGTGTACCATGGCCCAGCCATTGATCTAATGGGTATAATCAAGGTTAAAGTCCATAAACTGTTTTAAAATGGAATTAGATGTTTGTAAAACAATAATATTGCTGAAGGCATCCATTTGTTATCGCTGGTAGCTTCTTTTCCAGATTATTATTGCAATTGATTTCCTATGTTTGGCTTAGATGCTTGGCTCAGACGTCAGCACTCTCACCTCTGTGTCAGAAGGTTGTGGGTTCAAGCCCCGAACTCACCATCCAGACTCACAATCTAGTTCAGTAATTGGGGGTATTTCATTGTCAGAGGCACTGTCCCTTCAGATGAGATGTTAAACCCATTGCCAATTCTTCAGGACATCATTCAATTTTGAATTTGTTAGCCCTTTGCAGACAAGACTCGGAAAAGACAAATATACATATTATTCCCATTGATCACTTGGGTCCCTATACGTTGAAGACAGGATACTGTTAAGGGTTAATTCTTACATTGCTTTTTTTGGGGGGGGGGAGTGGACTGGGGATGGGGGGGTTAGTGGGAGACGTACAACAGTTTGCTTTCCTTGGGAAATAAGCCATGGATGGAAAGTGAATAACGCACAAAAAAGAATGAATCAAGGCAAAGAAGAAAAACAAGATCGTAAATCACAAAATAAATTGTTATTGTTTGCCAATGCTCTTGCTGCTGATGGCACGAGGCTCGGCTGTAGAATCTAACTCAACGATCACTACACACAACTGTAGGCAGAGTACACGTGTAATGCTAATACCAAATCAGCTGTGGCACTTCAAACGCACCGTGATCTTCAAGAAATAAGACCTGGGGCTCAGAATGTGACCCCCACATCTGCAACTCCAATTACGTTGCTAGGCTGATTGATGAGTCAATCATAACATATTTTCTGGCATATTCAAAGTATTTGTTTTATCAACTAAATAAACCAAGGGGGACCAGGGGTCAGATGTCACACAACTTAACTAGGATTCATGCAGACTGGGAGCAGTGCTGGGTTGAAGATAGAAAAAGAAGAAATTTGGGGAATTACAGGACAGGTCAAGCACCAGGACACAATCAGAACTACCAAAAGTTAGACTATTAAGTCTTCACAACTCTAATGACTATCTTCAAGATAAGCTGCAAATTCAAATTCACTTTTCAATAGTTAGTTTTCACTTGATTTTCCTCGAATAGTTGAATTTATTGTCCCAAGGCCAAATCCAACTCCATCTGAACTCACCCAGACTGTTTTAGAATGAGCACTTAGTGTGGTTACAAACCTGCCTTGTGGTAGTTTTATACCACTTGGCCTATATCCCTCCTCATTCAAATTCACCTCAACAAATCGAATGAATTGGAACATTGCCGGCGCAAAATAGCGGCTGCGTTGCTCTCTATGACAACGTTCACTTCATTTCTATTTATTTTTTGTTTCTCATTCTTGAGTAAAGCCCTTGAGGCATTTCTTTGTGTGAAAGATGTTGTATAAATTTTAAGTTGTTGTTGACATAGCTAAATGTTTGAGTTGCTTGAAGCAGAAAGCACTGAGCGTTGGAAGATGATTGTGCATTGTGAAACAATAGAGCTTGAATCAGTATTTGAATATTATGTGCTTTACGTACAATGCTTTATTTTAACACGGTCCATGACTTCTCTCTCAAAGCTGCCTCCGAAACCCAGCAGTCTATCATTGCGTCTGACAAGTACAATTGACAGGAAGACGCTTAGGCTCCCGCAACTATCCAAAAGGCACAGCCATGATGACGTGTTACTTCTGTCCCACCTTAGTGTGCCCTCCTCCCCAACCAGCCTCAACGATGACAGCGTGAGCACAACCAGCGATCTGCTCTCTTCACGTAGGTCCAGGAGGATTCCCAAGGTAATCTAGCCTAATTCATTCCTTCCTGGAGTAAGGAAGCTTGCCCAATATTTCACCCTGTCGGGAAGGTGGAAGACGAACTGGATAGACCTTGGTCTTTTTCTGTCTAGCGTTTCTTATGTTATTATGTGATGGCGGTGATGTTTATATTATAAATCCCCCACCCCACCCACCACGTAACTTGTTTCAATTTACAGAGTTTCTCACATTTTTTAAAAATCAGCCACCAAGTCAGGCTCAGGACTCAGTAAAACCTCATATATATATATATATATATATATATATAATAATCATTGCATTTGATACAGTGCCTTATCACGTATTCGAGATGTCCCAAAGCGCTTCAAAGAAAATACTGTAAAGTGAATTGACTGTGTATTTTGTGGGCTAAACATATAGGACCCTTAAATAAAAATACCACAATCTATAGTGTTTGACGTTGTGTTTTGTTTCCGTTTTATCTTCAATCAAATAGCCAAAAGCTATTCACTGCAGTTCACTACTTAAGTCTAAAAATTAACATAAGTGCCAAAAGCAAAATTAGCCATGGGTTTCAGTGACTATACTAATAAAGCATCAAACCAGCAAGGAATCAATGCTATATCAGGCAAATTAATTCCTATAACTGGGAATGATGAGTAACTCATTGGGCAAATAACTTCCAAGCACCAAGAGAAAACAGTTCTTATCAACAAGCTTCTCCCGGAACAGGGGCTTCCATTGAATAACTCCTTGTTCCTTGCTCATCTTACTCACTAGCTGGTTCAGAAGATTAATGGCATCTATAGTGCGAAGAGAGGGAAGAAAAGGCTGAAGAAACTGTCATTGTCGAATTTTGAGAATGCGTCTCTGCGAGGTAAGAAACTGGGAGATCAGAGCTCACAGCCAGAGGAGTCTGGCTGGCGTCAAGCCGGATGGAAAGACGAGGGCGGAATTCTTGGCCAAAGTTCGGAGTCATCATTACCCATAACACTGGCTGCACAAGATTGGAATTTTAGTGAAGGAAGCCAAAATAAGAGGTTTAGCAAGGCTTCGAAAATTAAAATCAAGTTTTCCTCCCCTTCTCTCCCCCCACTCCCCTCTCGCTTCCCCTCTCCCGCACTCTCGCGCCCTCCCCCACTCTAAATCCTATGATCTGTCAGCTCAGGTAATTTTGGTGAAATGCTGACAAGTTTCCTTCACAGGTTAACATTTGCCCTACCTGTCTCCTCTTCCTTCCCGAGTTCTGACTGCGGGGGCCAATCTCAGTGGTGTTGGTGGTGGGGAGCCCAGACCAGCCTGATGTGGTGTCCAGCCGCTGGCAGACTGCAACACCACACACATCACAGGAACTCTCTGTCTCTTCTGTCCCAGATTAAGCCCGTTTGATATTACCTGAAGATGAAACATTATTTACAGTAGAGGTGCAAGGAGACTCTCGAAATGGTGATGGAGGTGGTATGAGGCTTGCCAGTACACAATAGTACACAGCTCCTTCAACTCCTGTTGAAAGCATCATCGATTATTCTTTTCTTTAAAAAAAAGACAAAAAATGTCGATCGGAATTCTTGCCTGAGACATTTTTTGGAAGAGGTACTGTTAGCTCTCTACCAATAGCTGAATAAGTTAAAGGGATACACCTTATAAATGTGTCCCCCTCCCTTCCCCCCCCCCCCCCCCCCCACACACACACACACACACACATACACACAGACACACACACTACAACCCTTTAAAAGCCATTGGAGAGAGGAGGCCACTCTTTTTCAATCTGCTCCATTCTCTGAGGTGAAACCAGGCTGTAGAAAATATTCTTTCGAAGATAGTGTAGGGTCTTTACAAAGAACAGCTTAAATATTTAACAGCTACGGCAAGAGTCTGTTTAGTCTAAATTTATGATCAGGAATGTTCTGGAATTTTCCTCAAACTGAATGTTGTTTTGCCTCTGGCACCTTTGCTCAGGGTCTTTTATCTCTTTTACAGATGAGAACAGTGAGAGCGAGAGCGACTCGGATGACAGGTTTAAAGGTGAGAGGTCACGTTGTACTCGATCCAAGCAACACATCACTTCCCCATGGCCTGTGTAAAGTTCTTCTCGCTCTGTTGAGCTGCTGCACGTCAGAGAGCAGATAGAACGTTGTCTCAGTACAATTTTCACTAATATAACGCCTTTCAGGCTGTTTCGTGGAGGATGTCCCAAAGCACTTGTTAATTTTGGCCTGGGTACCAGGCCTAATTTGGAAATATAGAAACAGGAGTAGGTTATTCAGCCCCTTGAGCCTCTTCTGCCATTCTGTTAGATCATGGCTGATCTGTACCTTAACTCTAATTGCCTGCCTTTGCCCCACTTCCCTTGATACCCTACCTAACAAAAATCTATCCACCTTAGTCTTAAAAATTTGAATGGATCCAGCATCCACAGCCTTTTGGGGGTGAGAGTTACCAAAAGACCATAAGACCATAAAACGTAGGAGCAGGAGTAGGCCATTCGGCCCCTCGAGCCTGCCCCACCATTTAATAAAATCATGGCTGATCTTCTAACCAGATTCCATTTACCCGCCCCATCCCCATATCCCTTAATCCCTCTATCCTTTAGAATTCTAAATTCCACTACCATTTGCATGAAAAAATCCTTCCTGATTTTGTCTCGGTTTCGTCTCTGAAACTCATAAACCCACAGAGATCCCTCATAATGGGAGAACAATGGAATTTGCTGCCCTTATTGTGACTTATGGATTGCAGTCACATCCGGCGTTTTGCATTCAGGCTGTCTCTCAACCGACAAAAAGCCAGAAAAGTCTGACAAAAGGTTGGAGAGCAAAATGCTGAGTGCAGTGGAGTTTGTGATTTTTTTTAGTGTATCTATTCGTCAATTGTGCAATTTCCAGGGTAAATGGCACCTTCAAGTTTTGCGAAGACCATATTTTAAGATCTCCTCTCACCCCCCCACCCCCATTTTCTCTTTTATTCGCCCACAAAATATACAGTCAATTCACTTTACAATACATTCTGTGGAGCGCTTTAAGACGTCTCAATGACGTGATAAGGCGCGGTGTGGATTATTATATTTGTGACTGGGGGAAAAAAATCATAAATCGCGTTTGGATCATTTTCCGCCTCTCACCATCCAGCACACACACAGCGCTTGGTGCATATCCAGTCAGTGCTAAAGAAGGCGCCCAGATACCGAACATTGGAACGGGAACTCATCGAGTGGCAAGAGAGAGAACTCTTTGAATATTTTGTGGTGGTCGCACTGAAGAAGAAGCCTTCGAAGAACAGTTACATCCCTGAAGTGTCCTATCAGTTCCCAAAGGTAAATTAGCCTGCCCTATTCTACCTGTTTATGAGACATCGGTGATCAGTATATCACTAAGTCAATGCTAGGGACCTATAATTCCACCTAGTCTTAGCCTGTAAACTCATTTTGCCTTAAAATTCAATATTGTATTAATTTGAGAATTTTTTTTAAATTCAGCCATAGTTTGGAATCCAGTTCCAAGTGAAAACTGAATTTACAAATTTGGCCAAATCTCTGTGATCTTAAATTTCAAGACACTAAGGCTAGGTGGAATTGCAGGCATGAGATAGTTTAGGCAGTCTTGAGGAACTAAAGAAATGTAACTAATTTCCTTTGCAACAGTTCCCCCCCACCAAAAAAAACACAAAATTTTCTATAGATACAAGATGGTGAAATGTCTTGTTAAGTGCAGTCATAAATAACCAGGTAGTACATCATGTCCTTTGTTCAAATTAAAAATACTTCAGATTACCGATTTACTTGGAGTAAATGGTAAACCTCAGTGTCAAATGTGATACAGACAGGAAATGGCTATGCTATTCTTTGTAGTCTTGTCCTGCTCTTTCGCTCTCTGGAGGGGTCTGCCAGCTGTGAATGGTGCTCTTCCAGCTGTTTGCCTGATGTTCTCTGTGAGGTACAACTTTAGCTGCTTCTCCAATAGCAAAAGGCAAATGGGGGAGTGTGTGCGTATGTGTGTTTGTGTGGAGGGGGTGTGGTGGGCACAGCAAGGAGGTACGAAAGCAATTCAGGCAAAACATTGGGGGCTGGGGAAGAGGAGAGGGGAAATCGAGCAACCAGATCAATAAGCGAGACAAATCGAGATGCAAAGAGGAGAAAAAAGGTGGAAATTAAAAAGTGTGGTAAAAGGCACTTGTTGCAAACAAAGTTTTATTTCATTTGTGGGATTTTTCTGCATATTCATGCACACCTTGAATCAAACTATTTCTCCCATTTTAACCTTTCCATATCCTCCTTTGGTGTGTTCCCGTCTGCATGTGTGCACAAAGGAAAAACAATAAGGGATTGCAGTCTATGCAGAACTATAAATAAGACATCCTGTAGAACGTACTGAACAGGCTGTGTCTCACGTAGTCCGAGACTGGCTATTCATAGCTTCACTCCAGCAGACACAGCAATTCAGGGAGTTGAGGTACACCAGCCCTTTATTAATAAAAGCTCAGACATAAAGTACAGGGCTGGAAAATCTGTTCGCTTTGCAGGAGGAATGGCAGGATGCTGTTTTTACTAGCCTCAGCAGATCGATTTCAGAGATGAAATTTGCAGAACATTTCCTTTAATACTTGCAAAGCTCTATGTAAAAATGCAAGTTATTTCAACAATGGTAACACAAGAAGGGAGCCTTTGAAACACAGGCATTCACCATCACAGTCTATTTTAAAAAAATCTAAGAAGCCATCACACAGACTTCCTGCAGTGGTTGAATTAAGCTGATCACATTACGAAGTGAACATTGCAATGTTTCTTAATAGGTTCCTAAAAGATTAACACATTGATGGGGAGAAATTCTACCTGGGTCATGATTGACTCGATTTATGTTACTTTTAGGGTATTCTAGAGATTCTTAAATATAGCCTCATTTTGAAGCTGGTTCTTTTAATGGTTGCGGAAAAGCAGTCTCAAGGTTAAGACTGGAATCAATAACTTGGTTGGGCTGGAGATGATCTGAGAGCTTCAGTGCCGATATTGTTGTTGCCTTCAGTCTAATTGCAATCACTGTACAACCACTGACATTGGGCAGCCAGAATAAACTGAGCAATGTTATGTCTAAAGCTGTGTTTTCGAATCAGATATTCAGTTTTCGTATAAACTGTGTAAAAGTCCATGGGGAAATTTTATGCTGTTTTATGTATTGGGTTTGGGGGGGGTGGGGGGGGCAGGGAATCAGTAACAAATAAACAGTATAACTAGAAACAAGGTGAAATACAATGCTGTATTCCCTCTCCTATCTTCCCATCACAGCATCAAGTGGCTTTATGAATGACCCTAATGCCTTGGCCTCAAACACACTTCCCCACTACTTGCTCCTGGGAGGGACTCCTGTCACAAGTGTTCAATTGGTAGAGCAAAGGGCAAGGACAGCTTTGGATGAGTACATTATTTTGCAAGGTCAGGAAGCTCCCACTGCCATAGTCAAATAGCCCACCAACACTCTCGCTCTAGGGATATTTTACTGTGCTACATTGTAGGCATGATTTTTTTACACTGAATCCTTCATCAAACTTTGTACCGAGGTTACATTGTAGATATAAGTATTACATTAAGTACTGTTAAGTGTTGATTGCAATACACTGGTGTTGTTAAGGAGTGACCTTGCCATTAAGTACTATTAAGGGTTGACAATTCCACTATCATATCGCAAGGATTGGACAGCGCTACCTTGGGACACTGTTAAAGACTGAGAATGTTGCACTAGTATTGTTAACAGTTACCAGAGTCACATTTACTACTGTTCACTACATGCACGTGACATGGTTTTGTTTCCCCTCTACAGCTAGAGAGGCCAACAAAACAAGTGCGAGAGGCAGAAGAACGCCTGAAAGCTATCCCACAATTCTGCTTCCCAGATGCTAAAGATTGGGCCCCCGTGTCAGATTTTACCAGGTACTAAAACAAGATAGGAGCCGTCAAACAATGATATCCCAAGTTACATGGGTGTGTGTGGGTGGGGTGGGGTGGGGAGGAAGAGGCGATAATTCTCTCGTTATTGCTAAATATCCCCAATATGTTGGTGTAGTACAGCTTTTTATACCACTCGCGGTGGTTTATCTCTGCGCACCTCTCTTTTCGGAGTCAGCCACTATCTTGCATGAAAGGTGTAAAATAAATGCAAGTTGTTGCTGTTTTGATCATGTGCGCCATTATTGCAGTGGGTTTCAAATCTGAATGAGCTGGAGGCAGTGTTGGAGGAAAGGTCTTGTGTCCTGCACTCGGGGAATGGGTGCTCCTAGGACAGCGATAAGGTTGCCAGCTGTCCGGTTTGGGACGGGAAAGTCTGGTTTTAAGGGAATCTGTACAGAGGCATTGACTGGACACCAAAGGTCTGGTTACTGCCAGTGGAACCACAACTCCCAGTATCCTTCCAACATGAAAGCTGCTATATAAATGTAATTTTGCCGTTGTTGTTTTTGTTACAAACACTTTCCCATAAAATTGTTTTATAAAAGGAGCAAAGCCCACCAGCTTAGATCAAAAGCCAGGGTGAGTTTAACCCTGCAGTGTAACAGCTGATTTTCTATCTCACTCTGTCCACACTTTGTGACATGTTGCTGTAGTTCCTGTGTTTTCACCCCAAGCTCTTCAAGGGTTAAAAAAAACTACTTCTCTTGGAAGGTTCAGCATATTGAGGGCGAAGCGTGTGATTTATGATCTGTATAGTACAGATTCAGTGAAGGAATACAAAACTATCAGCAAGAGAAAGAGATCTTAACTATGTGAAGCTGCTCTGTATTGTTCTGTTAATTCACTGTTGAGTAACATTTCGGACCATTGTCTGTTTGCAGTGAAACGTTCTCATTTATGCTCACTGGGGAAGATGGAAGCAGACGTTTTGGCTACTGCCGCCGATTGTTGGTGAGTATGCGCTTCTACACGTTGGATGTTTAACTCTTGTTTAAGCCGTACTATTCTGTTCTTCTGTGGAAGTGTAAATGCACACTGCCACTTAAATTCCAGTCATTCTTCCCTCAGCTCCAGAGGTCAGGGTTCATTTCTTATTTCAGCAATCTCCTCCTCGAGACGCTCTCTCAAACATCTGGCCCGAGTACACAAAGGAAATTGGGTGGCTGATTGGACACGTATGAGCCTAAGTGGGTCTTGTGGCGTCTCCACCTCCCAGCTTCCTGCCACGTGGATTGGCCCAGACTCTCTGAAGTCAGGTTACCAGATGTAGTGCAGTGGTTAGGAACCACAGGGCCTGAGGGCCAGTTAGGAGGTACAGTCTTCATGTGTTCCTTTGATATATGCCTGTGTTTTTGTTGGCCAATTACGTTGGAGGATTGTCATAGTGCCGTCAGCACAAAGGGTCAAATGGCCTCCTTATGTGCTGAAGATTATACAGCCCCACCGCCCCCCCACCCCAAGCAGCCCTACGCTTCCTTCTGAAGAGCACTGACGATGCATGAAAGAACCAAGTCAGGGATTGATACCAATGCCTGTGACTTCTCCACTCAGTCTTGCCAGTCAGGAGGCAGCAGGCAATGCCAGATACTTCAGCAAAGGAAAGTGGAGGAATCAGAGGTTAATTGTCTCCACACCGCTCCCCTTGCTCCAAGTCACTCTCACTGAATAAACAACAGCAGTATCCAGGGAGCTATAATACACCCTGCTTTGCCAGCCCAGAGAATAACGACATATAACCAGCACGTGCAAGTGTGTGAACAGGATTGAATTTGGTTGAGTTCCACTTGTGGTTGAATAACCTGTGACTGCACTCACTTTGCAGGCTTCCACGTTAAGATTGCTATATCCTGTATAAGGAGCTTGTATCTTGTATCCCGCCCTCTCCTGAGTCAAATCAATCCTATTAGTCTTAACACTGTCGGCTAAATGGAGAGAAAATCGTTTTGTTTTAATCTCACATAAAAGGGAGTTTTGTTGCCAGGTGCTCTTCTGTTTCTCTGGTCTCTCCGTTTCAGTATAAATATACCGTACGGGCCATTCTTCAATAAACACACATCAGCCGTATCTGAGCTACCATTGTGCTCTATTTATTATACCAACTTGAGAAATGTTCCTGCAGTGCCAGAAGGTTCGGACCACATGTGGTTCCATTTAGTACTGCACGTGACTCCCGAGTGACCGACCACACTCCATGTTATTACATCGGTGATCAGTTAAAAGTTGTGTGGTTTAATAACAGGCTTAACAACAGGCTATCTAATAATACACTAGGTTTACCATTACATAAACAGGTCAGTTGGTCAGTTATAGTGGGGAGAATTAGATTTGGATCCCAATGGCTGGTGGGCATGTTTTTCTAGACTACTGAGGAATATAGAGGCAGCCGTGCTCTGTATGGACACACTATGGATACACCTGCCTTTTACACCACTGGGGATTGGGTTGAAACTTCCCTTTAGACTAAGTAGTCCATCAATAGGACTAGCGACAGTGGTTGAACATTCGACCACTCAACTGCCAGAGACCAGACAAACCTCTCCTGGCCCCTCCTATGTAGTTGGAGCTCGGCTCACTCTCTCCACCTTCTCAGGGCTAGTCACAGAGTAGCATTGACAGAGGTTTGGGTAAAAGACACTCATCTTTCTTACCATGGCACCAGAAATCCACTGAGAAGAATCACAGTAAAAATCACTGAGCTCCATGGCCACTTTGCAAGAATTTTTGTTCTAAATAAAAGCCCTGCGTTACTCTATCTATCATTCAGTTGAATTCTTTGTCAAATGAGATTCTCACCATTTCTTACAATATGCAAGAGAAATAGTGGAGAATATGAACATATAGTGGAGAATATGCACATATTGTGTTTGTGAGCATGTGCACAGCATTGATTACTTTCTCTCCAATTTTGAAGACACCTGAAATTGTCTTGGAATCTGAAGTCTTGTCCGATGTTACCCAAGTCAGTTAACGCTACTCCTGAATCAGAAATGATCATTAATATCACGTTACTTCTCTTAATCATCTCGCACTTGCTAGTTGCATTGTAGCTAAGAATAGGAACTAACAAGATCAGGAAAGACCACAAACTGGCCAGATCATAATTTTTTTTAGAGAGAAAAAATTATATTATTCCATCTATCATAATTGACTTCTTTGTCAAATAGTTATTTAATTCCTTCTTGAATTTATTGACGTAGTACAATAAAATACAAATGCAGAAGCCAACCATGACAAGACAGCGCAGCAACTTGAACTTACATGAGTTGCAGCAATGGTTTGTGTTTTGAGATGCCAATGTTATTTGCAGGAGAACATATCTTTTTAATACAGTAGTTACAGAACACTCGGTACAATACCAAGAAGGCTTCTCTCAGATTACCTTTTTTACTGGCATCTCCAATGTTCTTGTTTCACTGCCAGTTAATCCATGGTTGAAATGCTGCTTTTATTAAGTGAAGCAGCCTTCCGTATCACTTACCTGATTGTAATGAGCCATTTAGCGGGCTCTTGAGAAGGGTCATGGCAAAGCAGCTTACGTGACAAGGCTCTAGCCGTGATCTTCCAATTTTACTCAACACACCAATCTAACAACCATAAGAATAACGCATTGTATCAATCCTTTGTCAAGCACGGACTTGTACAAGTGGAGACTTTGCTGTTCTACTGTGGGAACTTTAGTACAGTTCCGCTTGCTTGCCTAACATTAATCCCAACAGATTCGGAACTGTTTTTGGTGACTGCAGTTACCTGCTTCCCTGCACCAGGTGCCTGCCTGCTGACAGATGTCATGACATGCTGGGGAGTGGGCGTGGAACAGACTGGGAATAATGAAAACTGAATGTTTCAGTTCACTTAATACAGTATATCCAAGTTTTTTTTAAAAAATGTGACGCTCAGTTACTGAGTGGCTACACAAATTCTCTCAATTTTAAAAAAAGGACTTCAGTTTGTATTGATGTTCCCTAGAACTAAGTGTTTTTATTGGCGTTTATCAAAAACATATCTACATCCTGGTGGCTATCCAAGGCCCCTGGCAAGGTGTCGACATTCCAGTGGATTTGATTCTAAGCATAAACTCCACATAGTTGATTTAATCAGTCAGAGCGTTCCGAACAAGTTCAATGCCTAATAAGGGAAAAAGATTCATCTCTTCAGGCAGATGTGAGCTGCAGGCACCAGCCTTGATCTATTAATACATTCATTAACGTGCATCTCTAGCCCAGGAAAAAGTTTTGTTTCCTTTTAGCAGTAGTTAGAGCATAAGGTGTGAGTGTTATAACATAGCCACCACCCAAACACACATTGTGAAGCAGGATATTTAAGGGTCATTTCTGCAAATATACCATCTCCTAATCATCAGTCACAGAAATGCCTGCGTTGTTGGTGCATGCAACAAATCATTTTCAGTTTTACAAGAGGGAGAATATTTGTGTTTATGAAAGCTGTCGATAACTAGTCTCCACTTACGGCTCCATGGTTTGTGGCATTAACCAACCAAGGTCCACTTTAGGGGCTGTGTAATGAAAGATTTGGGGCATTGCTCTTGTACAATGGTTGGTTTTAATCTGGGAGCCCTGCTACACACTAAAGTTAGATAGGTTTTAAGAGGACAAGGTATTTACTGATTCCCCCAGCTGAAGTAAACACCAATCATTTTTATTGTGTGTTACGTATTCTTAAAATGATTCCTTGTGATACATATGTAAAAAGTACGCAAAAGATCTGACTCGAGACTTAAGTTTATCCATCCTTTGGACTTTCTTGGACCTACTCATTTTATTTCATAGTCCCTTCATATTTTGCTTGTTATCAGACACTGAAGTGAGTGCTAACATTGTGATTATAGCTACTGCTGACATCAAAGTTTGATCTCGGGCCATAACAGGTACAAGCAGCTCTTTTCTCTATGCTGCTTCTCAAAGGAAAACGTAGAGAGATATTTACGTGGGTTTTGTATTTCACTCTTAACAATTTGCTTACGAAATATTGCCTTCGGTTTCAGCCCCAGTGCTCAGACCCTGGCTCTGGTGAGGTTAACAATTCCTAAACAGCAATTTCCATTTATATAGCACCATTCACATGGTATAGCATCTAGAAGCGCTTATCAGTGGTGGAGCCCGATGTCGAGCCGGTGGGGAGGAAGTAGAGTCAATTTTGACATCCACTGGTGATTTCTTTGTTAGATGAAGACAAACAGCAGATTACTGAACTGACCAAATGATATTGTGTGATTGCTGGAGCCAAGCTCCTTATCAGACTATTGGTGGTGGAATACTTAGTGCGAGTTGTAACCCTCTGGCATCATCGGTTTCGAGCCCAGCCATGTTGCTGTGACGGGGCTGCTATGCTCAAACAAATCCTATGGAAGCCAACAAAATACATGGCGTGGGGTGCTGGGAATCAAGCTGATACTTGCAGGATAGTGTCTGTTTACCCAGCACGCTGGCTGCATTTGATGTAATGGTGTAATAGAGACCTGTAGCTCAGTGGTTAGAGTACTCGCCTTGCAAACGAGACACCTGGGTTCAATTTCAGGCAGGGCAAAACCTTGGGCAAGTGCCTTAAAGAAACCTATAAGATTCTTAAGGGTCTTGACAGGGTAGATGCCGTGAGACTGTTTGCCCTGGTTGGAGAATCTAAAACTAGGGGTCATAGTCTCAAGATTAAGGGTCAGCCTTTTCAAACTGAGTTGAGGAAACATTTCTTCACTCAGAGGGTAGTGAATTTGTGGAATTCTTTACTCCAGAAGACTGTGGATACTCAGTCCTTGAACATATTCAAGACTGAAGTTGATAGATTTCTAAAGGATAGAGGGATTAAGGGATATGGGGATACGGCGGGTAAATGGAATTAGATTAGAAGATCAGCCATGATTAAATGGCTGGGCAGGCTCAAGAAGCCGAATTGCCTACTCCTGCTCCTTTGTCTTATGGTGTTATAGTCAACTTTCTTGTGGCTTATGTCTTTCGTTGGACACCAGTTGACCATAATGGCATTGCTTCTAATGCCAAGTCATGAATGTGCTAACAGCATACAGATTGTCTGCGGAACTGTGCTGACTTTATCTACTTTTTATTTTCAGCCAAGTGGAAAGGGGCCTCGCTTACCGGAGGTTTACTGCGTTATCAGTCGGCTGGGCTGCTTCACTCTATTCTCAAAGGTAAAGTGTTATAACCTAAGGGGCAGGAGAGTAAACTTTAGCTGATGTTTTCCTGATATTGATACAAATTAATACTGAAAGAGCATTGGTGTCTCATCAAAAATCCGTACAAAGGGAAATGGCTTTGCATGGATTACTAAAACCACTGCCTTTAAGGGTTCTTTTTTGATAAATATCTCTTTGTGATGTCCCATGAGTGTTGTTATTGCAAGGAAACAGGGCAGTTAATCTACGTCAGCAAGGTCCTACACACAGCAGATGAATGACCATTTAACCTATTTTATTGATGAATGTGGATGAGCCAGGCCACTGGGCAAACTCCCTGTTCTTCAAAATAGTATCATCTTTGACATCCATCTGCCTCTAGGTGAACTGTGTTAATATGAGATACCACCAATGATTTACCAACTCTTCGGTTCATCATTCCAACTGAGAGAGAAAGAACAAATGAGCAGAGAGTGCAGGGAGATGACAGACAATAGACATTAACTGCAAAGAACTATAAAAAATATTGATAACAATCTTCTAATGAATTGGCCATTCACCTACCTCAAGGTTGTTTGTGGAACCTTGCATGCCTGTATTGTTTGCCTGTGGGAATAGTTACTACACTTGACAGTTACCTTGCAACGTGGATATGATAAGTTGTTTCGAGCATTTTTATCTTGTGAATAGTTGGGAAGATTGAAATGCTCGAAGGGAAATGCTTTGCTCCACGTTAGCTCTGCGCCTGTCTGCCCATGATGGTTCTGATCAGCAAGCTTGGAAATCACTGAACACTGCTGGGATTTTATTTGAAGTAATGATTCCCCAATGTTTGTCTGCAGGAGATGCAGTCATAGCACAAAAGCATTTCTTCCTCAGTGGGAAATGCCAAAATCTGCCGTTTTTTCCAATTAAAGGGATGATGCTGGTTGACCCCTAACAGACTCGATTACAAAACTTGTGAACCTTGAAACAAAAGTTCCCTTTAAAAACCCTGTGGAATGAAATCGGCCGTGTGGTTTGGGAAAGAAATCCCGATTAAAGCTTGTGATCAGGAGAATAGCAGTTAGGTCCCAAAAGGAATTCTAAATGCTGGGAGGAAATTAGAAGGAGGCAGAGGAAGTAGCTAGGCAGAGCTTTGGGAGAAGTTTATTGCAAACAGTGAAGTTGGATGAACAAAAACCCAACATAAGCATTTTGAAACAGAAAAGAATGCAATACATTTTTTTGTTCAGCTTTGCCAATATGTACAGAGTAAATCCTGTGAATCCCTTTGAGACGTCTGCCCGATGTGAAAGGACCTCTATCAAAGGCAAGAGTTTTATTATGACACACCAAAAGCTAAAAATAATAAAAAAGTAAAATAAATCATTTTTACTAATTTATACCCGTTAAAAAAGCATTGCTATTTTGTAGCGATCACTGTCATTTTTTCACTCATTTAGCATTTCGCAATTGATACAATGGCAAAATGGTAAGCAGCCACATTCTCCATACTCCGTTGCAAGCCAGTCTCCGCTCTCTGAGAGAACAGCACTTAAAGTTGTGGAGACACAACACCAGAGCCTTTCACCTAAAAAAATATAGAAGTAGCTTATGCTATAGGGCTGGTGGGCTAAGTGGTCCAGACTAGGGGATATAGAGAGCCAAACACAGCAAAAGTTATGATGAAAGGACATAAGCGGAAGTTAAAACAGGGAGTAGGGGGCAAGCAGGGGGCTGATAAAATATTTGTTTAATTTTTGGACTTGTCCTGTACAGTTCCGGAAATGTCAAAAAGACAGCGAGTTGACCTTGTTGCGTGGGCAAAGGAATATCTGAAAGAGTTGAGATTACAAGGACGAGTTTCAGGCCTATTGCACATTAGCTGGTCCTAACTCCTGGATGGCTCAGCAGGCTGTTTGGCTCAGGTTTCTCTAGTAAGACGAACTGTAGCTTTGCAAAGAGCTTTTAAAAATATACTTAAGCCATGTTGGCAGAAAGAAGTGTGCATTTAACCCTTTCCTTGTTGCCCAGCTGAAATATTGTCCCCAAGCACATTGCATGAAAGCCTCCACAAAATGACACTTGAGATACCACTATTTTAATTGCCAATATCCGTGATCCAAGAACTTCTTTGCTGGGAAGGGGGTGGGGTAGGGCCAGTCAAATACATGATCAGAGCATAGTTTAACCACATTGGTTGCAAATGTTCCTGATTGATGATATTATCAAACAGGGACACTTCTGTGGGTCTAGAAGACTTAGCAGAACACAACCAACGCAATGTATCCTTTTACAAATGGACTTTCCATCATTATATGAAGTTCCACGGGATTTCCCCATAGGAGAATCCACGTTAAAAAAAACTTCCCATGGATTTTCTTCTTTTTCTTTTTCACAAGGGTTCAGGACTCTGAGGGGGTTTAACATTGTTGAATTTAATGCACACCAGAAACAGCTAGAAAATGGACCGAAAAAACACTGGTATTAGATTGACTTGATATCTAAGCTTTAAATTCTATAACGGTACTTGATGAATCCCAGCACATGACATAATTCAAATGGTTTGAGTGAGATGGTATCAAATATTTGCACGGTGGACAGCACATCTGGAGAGTATTTCTAGCGAGCCTGCCACTAGACCATGACAGAAGATTCGAAATCCCACAATGAAATGAAAATGGAACCAGATGCAGTGGGGGTGGTTCTCCGTTCATCGGTAGAGTTACTAGGAGCCGTGAGCTTCTTCACCAAACTAACCTGGTGATCTTGTGAACATCCTCCTCCGATGGATGATTCTCTCACCACTAGCCTTCAGATAATTTCTCTCTCTCTCTCTCTCTCTCTCTCTCACTTTCTCTCTCTCTTCCCCTCCTCACTTAATTCTCTCTCCTATGGTACCCAGAACAAAGGTGACATATAATTAAGGTCCACCAGTGCCTAAATTAAGATAATTGAAAGACAAATGTATTACTAATGGGAATTGATTGTGACATACGATGCCTCATACATAACTTTTAGTGGTCAAAGAGCAAGGAGCAACTGTGGGGAAAATTTAACTGGATTCTTGATAATACTTGACATTCTGCCTGACTAGATTCTGGATGAGGTGGAGAGAAGACGTGGAATCTCTGCTGCCCTGGTCTATCCATTTATGAGGAGTCTCATGGAGTCTCCCTTCCCTGCCCCAGGAAGGACAATACGAGTCAAGACCTTTCTTCCAGGAGCTGGAAATGAGGTGAGCAGTGACTTCAGATTGACTGACTGAAGGTTTAAGAGCCAGAGAGTAGGTTCTAAAAATAAAGCCAAACACTGCAAATGCTAGGAATCTGAAATAAAAAACAGTCCTGTTCATTCCTACGGACTAGTTTGTAAGATTCATGACTCTTCAGCCTTGTCTGCAAGTATGCATTTGAAAATGCCATTAAAATGATTAGAATTACTGTACTAAACCATCTCCAGAAGACGAGCATTGAGCACTGTGCAAAACTAAATTACATGCATGAAATAAACAAAGTATACATTTGTGGAGCTGCAAACAACACACATTTAATTGGAGCTGCACAGGATAATGGATGTCTGGCAGTGCCTTTCAAAGTCCTAATCCATCCAAGCTGTTCCACTGAGATCACAAACCACAAAAAGTAAAGTACAAGAAACTTAAACCGTGACTTTAAGTCAGCAAAACCATGACTTCAAATCATTGTCTTAAACTCACTGTTTCAATTATTCCTTACAAATGTATATTTTTTTAAAAGTTTAAAATATAAACTTTTAAAAACTATCTGTCGATTGTGCTGAGCAAAACCAGGGGAATTAAGAGATAAGCGTGGAACAAATCAAAAGTTTCCATAAGTCTTCAACTCCTGTGTCACATTCACCAAATAGTGTCTTTTCTGCAGCAGATTATTGACTTTGACATCACCAGATCTGTCACTGTTGAATCAAAGCTTATATCCCAATGTCCGCGCACCATTAACATTGCCAACAGACATCAGGGAAAGGACGAAAACTGTTCCAATTTGACCCGTGAAGATCTCATTGCAACAGGATTCATGTTGTGCCACTGGTGGGGTGAATAATACGTGGGGTGAATAATAATGATCGTTGAATACTGTATAAGCCCTTCCCATGTCCTGTAGCGACAACATGGAACCATATCTGACTTAGCAATCCACCCCCGTTATCACTGCCAGGACGTTACCCCTCGTGAAGGGCGCTATATAAATGCAAGTTGTTGTTGTTGTTGCTGCAGGTTATTGAGCTGCGACGTCCCATGGATTCTCGGTTGGAGCACGTGGACTTTGATTGTCTCTTCAGTTGCCTCAGCGTCCGGCAGGTCATCAGGATCTTTGCTTCTCTCCTGCTTGAGCGACGAGTGATATTCATCGCAGACAAACTGAGGTAACAGGCAGTGCCCAGTGTTTACTTACATTGACTAGGCACTGGGGAACTCTCTGTGGGTCACTGCTGTGTGCAATTGTGCTGCCGGGTTTCCCAGTCACACCATCTGTGAAGAACTTTGAGATGTCCTTCTGACATGACATGGTGCTGTACCAAATGCAAGGATTATTATTATATTATCCATATTCATTGCCTCTGCAGCTCGCTCCCTGCTTGTCCCTTTTAACCACAAGGAAGAATACCCCAGCTTTAACCCAGCTTTCTCTGCCAAGTAGGGACCTGTGTCAGCATTCTCGCCCCTGTGTGTAAAACAATATCTTTACTCAGAGTTTGCACATCAACAAAATATTTTTTGGGGAAAAACACACACACATATGTACAAAGATTCAGTGACGGAGAGGAAATTGCTAAAAGCACAGTGCTGTAGACCTGCAGTGATTCTGCTCGTTATGTCTTTGTCATGTATTTACTGCAATAACTTTGGAACACCCAGCATCATTTTCTGTGTCTTTGTTCTTCTGCTCTTATCAAGAGAAGGACAAACAGTTTTAAAATGATATGAAAAGAATGCAAGATATTTCGCAGACATAGCCCCAAATAACTGCTGTTAGTCCAAAGAGGAAATTAAAAACGGTTTATGAGGGCAAGATGCTACAGTGCACATGCAAGGTAATGAGGCGCTGCCAGTAAATCTTTAATCCTGTTTATAAGAAAGCACGGAATGAGAATATGCTCTGCAGGTCATTAAGTTGGCTCCCTTCATTGCCCAGTAAAACCTGGCCCATCACGGACTTCACACACCCATTCAACCTCAATGTGAAACCGTGATCAAGAACCCAAAAAACTGATCAAGAACAGAGCAAAGCCTCCTCTTCCCCTCCTCGTCTTCTTAAACACAGAAAAGCATGCTAGGGATATGTATCAATAAAAAGGCAAGAGGAAAAACAATAGTACCGTTTGAAATCACCAAACACACTCACTCAAATCTGACTCACAGAGAAGCTTGGTGAATAGGCAAGTGGACATTAACAGCGAATCCTGCCCCAGAAGAGATTCGGAGTCAAGCTTGTGGGAAGTCTCTTTATTTTCAAATGAATATGTGCTTCACTTTGTATGGAACACAACATTGAGAAAAAAGCTGTGATTCCTTTTAAAGCATTCTGTCCCCACTCTCCTGCCCCCACACACCACCCATCCAACCAAGTAAACAACCAACCAGTCTATGTCGAGGCTCCTTCAGTCGTGTCAAACTTGTTAATAAATTTGTCCTAAAACTTCATTTAATCCCGAGTTCAGTAATTATACAGGATGGAGCCATCTGGAACTCATTAAGGAACCATTTTACCTTAGAACAGAAATTTTGGGGTAATATTTGATCTTTTTTTTCCTTTTTACCACCTGCCCCTCGTTGCATACACACACTTTCCTGCCTCAACTCTGCTCCAGAGAGGAAAAAATGCAACCTGTCCAGTCTTTCTCTCATTAATTAAAGGGGTCAGAAAGCTAAATACCAGAAGGAGGAATTGATATGATAGTGAATTTCCAAACCAGTTTCTATTTTAATAACTGAGGAGAAAAGAACTCCCAAATGAAGACAATTCAATTAAAATTAAATTTTAATTTCACTTTCCGTAATAATAATATATGATAATCCTTCCAATTGATATAGCACCTTATCAAGTTTTTGAAACGTTTCAAAGCACTTCACATAATATACTGTAAAGTGAATTATACTGGTAAATGTGATGGTAAGTTTACTTGTTCGGCTCTGGAACTCCATCCCCCAGTGCCTTCGCCTTGCTTCCTCCCTTTCCTCCTTCAAGGCCGGTCTCAAAACCTTTCTCTTTGACCGTGCCTTCAGCTCCCCTCTCGACTCTCTTCCTCCTCCTCGCTCCCTCCCTTCCCTCCCTCACCCTGACCATTTCCCCCCTCCCCTCCTCCCTCCCTCACCCTGACCATTTCCCCCCTGCTCGGGTCATGACCCAACTGTGCAGCGCCTTGGGACGTCCTCCTGACGTGAAAGGCGCTCTATAAATGGAATCTTGTTGTTGTTGTTGTTGTTGTTGTTTTGACATGGCTCACATTTCTGCGATCAGATCTTCTAGGGATCTCACTGAATGTCTCAGGGAAATAATATCCCTCCTATGTAATTACAGTTAGTACAATCTCAGTCCTGCAAATCAAACTCACAAAGGTGTTTTCAACCATCCTGTCTCCTATTGAAATACAAATTAGCTCACGATACCAAGTATTTGTCATTGTTTCTGAAAATAGTCTGTTTACCCTTCTTATCTGGAAAGGCTGGGTTTAAGCAGAACTCTCGTCTGTTGTTCATTCCCCCTTTTTCTCCCCCTCGTCTTCCTCCCCCTCTCCTCTTTCGCCCGTCCTCCTCTTCCCCCTTCTTTCCCCCCCTCCTCTTTCCCCCACCCCCACCCAAACTATAATCACAATATTCATATACAAAGCAAACCAGAAACAGACGCACCCTTTTATACAAACAGCACTGAGAGAGTGCAAGCAGGCAAACAGCTGACTTTGTGATACACATTGTTAGCTGTAGCTTGAGTTACCTCTCTGACACTTAGTTGTCTGAGAAGACACAGGATTAAAAATAAGGAGCAGGGGAAAATAAAAAGGTTCGGGCAGAAACAGAACGTAAATCTTTCTAAGACTACATGGCGGAAATAGAAATTGTTGAATTAAAATTATCCCATTTTGACCTCTTCCCCTCACCTCCTAAAATACAAGCTGGGCAGATTTGTGCTGAGTTCTATTCCCCTTGTGTGCTATTGGGCTCAAACTGTAAGCTCAGGTATAGGTCCCAGGCAGTTAATGATCATAAAGTCCAGAAGCAGAAACAATACCAGAAATAGCCTCCATACTTTACTCATTAAATAATTAATATTACGGTTTGGTTTGGTGATCGTTCAAAGCATTGGAGATCAGCTTGTTAGACAGCAGAATGATTCATTGATTATCAAAATGGTCTTCCCAATTCGAGCCTTGTTTCAGGAAGACCTCTATAAAGTACGGTTTCTATAGCTGGAAGGTGTCTATGTTGCTGCATTGTGTGAGACCTAAAAACCCATCACTTGTGTCCCGTGTTGGCTGGAGATGAGATAATTGGACATCGTGGATGTGGTGGAGAAAATATCAAAAACAATGGCCCTTAGTGGTGTGCGGGAGTGAATAACATCATCATGGCACTTAGAGAGAGAGAAGGTGAGTCAGTTCCGGTCAGTGTGGTGGCGAAATCAGTTTAACTGAGATCAGGCATTGAAAAGCCTATACAATGGAAACCTTGCCACTCCAAGTGAGAATACATTGGGTCAGGTTGAGAAGATCAGTCCTACAAAGCCACTGGCAAATCTCCAAAACCCCATGAAATTGATTTGGATGTTTATGGAGTCTTTGGAATTCTATCCATATCTCCTGATGCTATGCTTGGCTCTCAAACTGCTGAACGGATCAGTTCAAAAGCTACTTGCATCAACATGTAGAAATGCATTTGAACTCTGGTACTATATGAATCAATTGGGTTTGGAGGATGTGGGAGAAGTACAGACTTGCAGTAATATTGGTGAATTATTACGTTTTATTCTCATTGCAACATGTTTTCCAGGATCTGTGCGTTTCACAAGGTTTGTGCACCACGTGTATATCCTAATAGGATTCCTTGCTGCTTGGTTTAACCCTGGTGATCCCAGCTCCATGTGCCTTTGACCTTCACATAGGAGTTTTATTAAAAAACAAGTTAATCTAGTCTCTAATCCAACATGAGAGTATGGAAATCACACACTTTGGGAGCCCTAGTTCAGAGATAGTGATAGAACAGTGAAACCAATGTTTCTGTTCAGGTTGCAGAATCAGACAGGTTCTAGACAAGATCTGTGGTGTACTCAGAATGCCTTTAAGCATGAAGTCTCCTATTACGTAAGCAGTGAACTGCTCAAATGGAATCTCCCCTTTCCACAGCATTCCTCATTGTTTTAAATTCATTATTGTGCTCAACAAGGTGATGAATATTATTTCAGTGCCAGCTTCACACAATCACATAACAAGCATCACACTTGGCCAACAGCTTAGCCACTTAACTGAACAATGGATTAGAAAACCTTCCCTAACTGCTGTGCAAACCTCTGTCCAACCTCAGAAAACCTCCCCTAACTGCTGTGAACTTGTCTGTGAACTTAAATTCTGGTCAGTGTTACCCATATCACCTTTGGCGATAGCTGCTGCTTATGGAGATTCCCCTTTAGAATATTTTTGAACATTGTTGAAGGTGCAAGACTGGAATGTTTGCCAACCTGTGTTCTTTCTGAATGAGGTTAATTCAGGCTGTTTCATGCTGCAAACCCTCTCTTATTGAGAACTGAAATTAAACTGTGGGACCTTTACATCAGTTTGGCAACATTTAAATGCAGAGATGAAGGGACTGTTTACCAGCTCGCAATGCCACCTGCTCCCCCACATTCCATCTATCTTTACTGTTTTAATCCTTCTAGTTCTTACACTCCTATCTTACTTAACCTGTGCCCGATTGTAGATGACTTCTCCACTTCTTGAAAGAGTGAGTGCTGACGAATGTGCAATGGTGTGGATATTGTCTCATCTTATAGTTCGTCAATGTGTAGGGATTTAAAAGGTCCTTATTAGGGGTTCATGTCATTAGTGTTTTGAGGAGGTCTTCTGTATAAAACTGGGGGAAGAGCATGCTATTGCCAAGGTCAACAGAAGCCCACATATTCATAGAATTATATAATCTTACAGCACAGAAGGAGGCCATCTCATCCATTGTTCCCATGCCGTCTCTTTGAAAGAGCTATCCAACTAGTCCCACTCTCCCATTCTTACCCCATAACCCTGCAAGTTGGATGCTGTAATCTTCTTTAATTAAATGAAGTTCAACCCGTCTGGCAATCGGCTATCACTCCCTGTGAAAGTGTAGCAAAACACAGCCAGGATTGCTCCAAGCCTTGGGAACCAGGGCTGAGCTCGAAGCTACACGATGAGAGAAATTTCATTTTATGTTCTGCGGGCTGTTAACAATGTTAAAATTAAATAAGCAAATATATTCGCCAAGCTTAAAGGGCAAATGAAAGGAAACTGGATATTAATAAAAAAAGAGTCGTTGTCTGAATGAATGCCTCTTTGTTCTGGCATGTAATTGAAAAGATAATGAGTGCTAGTGATGAGAATGTGTATGTGTGTGTGCGTCTGTGTGTGTGGAGGGAATTATAGATTAGCAGTAAATCACACAATCGTTGCAGAAAATAAATCCACTAAATTTGTTCACCTTCTGAGCAGATTTTTATGATCCCTTATAATAAGAACTTTGCAATGAAAGTTTATCGTGGGGATCTATGCTTTACTAATACAAGCTTTGCAGTGAGAGCTTTTATAGTGGAAGTCTGTGTGTAATAATTTTGGTAATAACATGAGCTTTGTAATGAGAGAAAATTGATAGTCAGGATCTGTGTATATTACGCTAAGCTTTGAAATTATAATGAGGGTCTATGTTTAATAAGAAATTGCTCATATACGTTCCCACAGTGAATAAATGAGAGTTTTCCTAGGACTATAATTTGAAAACCTAAGGGGTGATTTTGCAATTATTATTTATCCACCATGGGGATGTGATTTTATGTGAATTTGACTTCCTAATCTCACAGCAGCGAGATAAGTAAATATACCAGCCAGCAGAGAATAAGATGCACTCAGAAATCAGGGTCAATAATTTTACTGATCATCGGAGACTCATCCATCTAGGATCCTCATTCTAAATCCCTGCAGAAGCCCTGCTGTGGGGTAAATTGTTGTGTAAGACAAATTATCAGTCCATGAAACAAGGCCTGGTAGTGAGGTCAATGACTGTGCAATCCCGCCTATTACAACTTCATATTTAATTTTTAATAAAAACTTGAGTATAAATTAAAGCTTGTCACCCAGCCAGCATTTAGTTTCTCTCCCTTGGATATGATGAAAAATATTTGACGTCTACAAGATTACCCAACTGACCCAACTGACTAGAATGGAAATTTCAAAGACAAAGTACAGCATTTAAGATTTGATTTAGTCATGTTTCCTGGGTTGAGATTTTGGACAGTTCTAACATTCTAACACACAAAACTGTAGAATGTGGTGTCCCACTGTTTGATCAATGGCATCCTCTTTGCTTGTGGTAAACCACAGCTTTGTTGTCAATTGATTGCATAGTATCAAATACTGTGTATTGGATCATCACCAACAAGAATTTGGTCTGACTGCACAGTGCTAAGTAACATGGACAATGTGTAGGCTCTTGCATGGCTTCTAGACATTAAGGACCTCTTAAAATTGGTGGGGATATAACAGAGGGCAACCAGATCGGTGAGCAATTGGATTAATAGCCATCTGAGTTATGAGGAGAGACTGTGGTAGCTGGGAATGTTCAGCTAAAGGAAGAGAAGGCTCAACAAATATTCTATTGAAGTCACTCAAACCATGACTGTTTATGGGACACTGCTGTGTGCAATTGGCTGACACGTTTCACGCACAAAATACAGTCAATTCACTTTACAATATATTTTGTGAAGTGCTTTGAGATGTCTTAACGACATGATAAGGTGTTATATTAACTGCAAGGATTATTTATTTATTATTAAGTATTCAAGAACTTAAAGGTAGATAAACAGAACCCTAATAATATATTTATCAAATCTAGAACAAGGGGGGTATGGATTTGTTCAGAAGATGAAGGTGAACAGACACTTGAAATGTCCTTCTTTTGCACAGAGAACAGTGAATATGTGGAATTGACTTTCTAGGGAGTTGGTGGAAACCCTGTGTCAACAAATTCAAGAGGGAATTAGATAGCTACAGTACTTGGCAACAAGTTAAATTGAGGGGCATGAGAGATGGAGTAGTGTAGGATTACTGTATTTAGTTATTATTTTCTCTTTATTTAACTTAGGGACCTTCCAGATGGCCAACAATAGTCTTTCCCATGTTCTTATGATGGACCAATGGGACTGAACATGCGATCTGCAAGGAATGTGCAAGGCAACTGTCAGTGATGTTCTGCAACAGGTTGAAAGGGGCAGGACCTCTCCTTATGGGCCGAGCTTTTATCACAACGTGGTCTATGGCAGAACCTGTACCTAGTGCTCAGCTTCTTTTGACAGCACTGACATCAGATCAGTAGCATCCAGTTAGATTTAAGAAATTTCCATCATCAACAGAAACATTGCTTTCTAACACATTACTCCCCTTTTACAAAGCTGTAATATAGGTTTGATACTTCATATCTTTCATACCATTCACGGTTCCCTCAATAATAATATATTCCCTGTATAAAATAGACCTGATCACTTTTTAATCACCATTTGTAGAAGCTCCAAAGTAAACCTTGAAAAAGGAGGTTGGCATTCGCATTTCAGGGTTACTTCCTGTTAAAGTGTTAAGTGAGTGCTGTAAGGTTCTGTAATTCACCAAGAAATCGCAATAATTACAAGATTGAAAAGTTGCACAAACCACTGCTGACCACAGAACCGCTGTTGTGGGACCAGTGAATGCTACCACCTGCTGGATGTGCAGAGGGGATACGGATTTAGGTGTGTGGGTAAATCAAGCCTAATTCTGTCCAGGGTTACAGTGCTGAGTCCTAACTACTGTGACCTTAAGTTGAAAGTACTCTGAAGGTTCCTTAATTCTCTCATTTGAAAAGAATTTAATTTCAGCGGTTAGGGTCTACTTTCATCATAATTACAAGCATGTGATTATTTTGGCTGCGAATTTAATTCTTAAAAACAAAGGTTCTCGAAGGATTTGATCCTCTCATTATGCTGCCTGATCATTGGTGACAAGTAAAATGAGGCTCTCAGACACATCCTCCATGATTGGAGTAAAACACTTTCAGATTCCCAATCCTACAGCCAGCCAGACCTCCGTGCGAGTATTTGTTATTTCAGGAGCACTCATTAAAATGCTTTGGTTTGTTTTCCTTAAGAGTTTTTACAATTGAAATTATCTTGGAAAGTATATACAGTTTGTACCATTTCTTTTGGGCATTGTTGACTTCTGGATTTTACTTTGCTTTAGTGCGTTGGCACCTTACTGTGTGCTCTGTGCACAAAAGGTTATTCCAACACCAAAGCCATTTTGACCAAAGGAGAGATTCTAGGGGAAGTTCTTCTGATTAATTTTCCTTTCCCGCTGATGGCCTGGTGACGTTCAGTTACTGGACATTCATGTTTGCCTGGGCACTGAGCCTGGTCAAGTCTTCCAGTCAAGTGGAAGGTGGAGGAGTATTGCCTCTTGAGGCTGTATTGCCTATTGATAAAGAATGCTTTGGATGGAATGGTTATCTGGCTGCATTAGATGTCATGTCAAGATCCAAGTGAGATCCTCGGGATCTGTACTCAACAGTGGGATTAACTGTTACCGTTGTCGTGTGTTTGCCCACACAGCACTTTGTCTAGCTGCGCCCATGCTGTGGTGGCATTGCTGTACCCCTTCTCCTGGCAGCACACCTTCATTCCAGTGCTGCCTGCCTCCATGATCGACATTGTCTGCTGCCCCACGCCTTTTCTCGTGGGCCTGCTCTCCAGCTCGCTGCCCAAACTCAAAGAGCTTCCTGTGGAAGAGGTAAGAGAGACTTTCCCATAATAAAAAGGCAGACTCTCCATCCCTCCGTAACTCTACATATACAAAATAATGGCATCCTCAACTCAGCTTACTTTACAGTCATGTACCAACAGTGCAGTTTGTCTCATTGAGCCTATCCCAGTGCAGGCTCCTCTACCCAATCTTCTACTCGAAACCCTGTTCTTTCCTTGTGCTCTATTATATTCATCTGCATGGAACTCAATGAGACATCCTGCCAAAGTGAATAGCGCTTGTATAAATGTAAATTGTTCTTGTTGTATATCCTTCCTCTTAAATTATTTAGCCAACACCTTTTAAATATTGTTACAAATTTAAATCGGTATGGTATTGTTTAGGCGTCAAAGTCAAATAGACCAGTGAAAAACATTCAGATCATAGCTCGCGTGATTGATTGAAACACCAATTGAACGATAGGCCTGCTGCAGTGCTCAGTGAGAACCCATTAGATGGAATAATGGAGCACAATGGTTAACAGGGCACAGTGTTTATACTGAACACTAAGTACATTTCTGCAGCTTGAAATTTTTGGGAAAAAAGCTCCAGTGCTGCCCCCTGCCCTCATTTAACATAGCTCCTCCCGCATGAGCTCTTGTGACACTGAACAATTAACGGCTCATTTATTCTGAATTCCAAGTCGAGAAGCAGCAATCAATCTGCCTCTGGTCTTGGCAGAAAGTTGAGGCATATAATACTTAGGTATTTAACCCCGTATGGGAGTCGTACAGAAACGACTGGCGGTTTGACAGTGCAATTCTCTCCTGTCAGGCACTGATGGTCGATCTTGGAGCCGATCGTTTCCTGAGGCAGGTAAGATCCTCAACACGGAGGCGGCTGCGCGTGTACAGTGTACATCACTCCGAATGCAAGCGGGTAAATATTGACAAGACGTTTGACCTTTCTTAATATTTTTGGAACAAATTTTTCTCCTCCTGAAAAGGGCTTAACTCTTTTTATGTCTAACGGATTTCTATTCCACGGACACCATTCGCTGTCTGGTATTCGGCCGACGTAGACTTTATTCATGCGCGAATGTTGGCAGTGAGCGCTGGTAGGTTGGCCTTCCCTTGGTGGTGGTGTATGCACTCGACCCAGTCTCATCTGACATCCACACACACACATAGACACACACACACACCATCCAACAAGGGCTCTGGATAGCAATCAAGAGCAGCAATCTGGCTGATTTCCCTCCCTCTAACCCTGGGAGCACTGAGGCCAATTGTAGCCTCCTTCCCCCTTCCCAAAATAGCCTGAACAGTTTGGATTATCACCTCATGGATCTGGATAGAAAGAAGTTCTGTCCCTTTTCATGAGGACACGGCCTCTTTAAGGGAACACAAGACGGTCGTACGCAAGTTGTTTGCTGAGTGTGCGGAGGGGAAGTGTTTGGAACGTGTATTATATTTATCTTGTGGTTGTTTAGATGGACGATGAGGACTCCCTGTTGCCACGGAAATTACAGGCAGCTCTGGAACAGGCTCTTGAGCAAAAGAACGAGTTGGCGAATCAGGATTCAGATAGTGAGTCCGATGATGGTGAGGAACTTATTCAAACACTTCTGTTCACAAACACATGAACGAAAACTTGACTTTCTTTGGATGCGAAAAGGAGCTGGTATAAATCACAGGTTAGGACATTGAGTGGGGACTCCACATTGGAACAAAATCCAACTATTCAGGGTGAGGGGAATAATAGCCCAATGAGTTTGTCACAGAAAAACAGTACTGTACAATATAGGAATCACTGAGATTCCTTAATCCTTTTAGAATTTCTGTCAACCCACTGGAATTTCACCTCGGATTATTTCAGATCAGAGGGTCAGTGTGACACCCATCCAGTTACTATCCTTGCAATTTATAGAGCGCCTTATCATGTCTCAAAACACTTCATAGAATATACTGTAAAACGGCTTTGGAGAAGAGAAGGAATTTTTAAATGAATGACTTAAAATTATTATCAACGAGATGCGGGAATGCTTTTGGGACAACGGGTGGCAGAGGTCAGCCCCACAATGTCCCAGGGTCTCTTGATAACCAGAGACGCTCCTAGGCAAGCAGGAGATGGACTGGAATGCTTTCAGAGCTGAGCTGGGGACTTAAACTGATTTTGCTCACTCAATACACGAAACTGCTGTGCGCAATTGGCTGCCGTGTTTTGCCCCACAAATTATACTGTCAAAAGTGTGCTAATGGAATGGAGACAGTTTGTGTTCTTTGGATGCTATCCATTTACAATAATTATTTTAAAGAGATACAAAATGGTACATGCCAATTACTTTCACCAACGTTAATTTCTGTCCATTGTAATCTAGAATTGCCCAAAGTTCAAGTTATTTTGGTGACACTTGTTTTACTTTAAGCAAGGCAGAGGGTTTCCATCATTAAAATAAATTCAGATTACTCAGAATAATAAATGGAGAGAAGCGTAATTTGTTTAGAAATCTTAGAAATCCAATTATGTCCTTAAGATCTATGTAAAAATGATAATTTGTTTTTTTTACAAATACCACAAACTGTGTGCAGGTTTTCCTGAATGGTTTCTTGAATTTTCTGTTGATTCTGTTGCAGAGACCAACACACTGAATAACCTGGTCTCTGAAGCTTTCATTCGCTTCTTTGTGGAAACCATTGGCCACTATTCCCTGTTCCTGACCCAGAACGAGAGGAGCGAGCGGATATTCCAAAGGGAAGCTTTCCGCAAGTCAGTGGCTTCCAAGAGCATCAGGCGCTTCCTCGAGGTCTTCATGGAGTCGCAGATGTTTGCTGGGTTCATACAAGACAGGGAATTGCGAAAGTGCAGGGCAAAAGGTACAGCTAAAACAGTCATTGTATGTATGGCCTTCAGCGTCAGACTTCTGCCATCAAAAACATTGTGGGGAGCGAGTAAGGAGAGTGGATCAGATTGAGTGGCTCATGTCATGTGGAGAAAAACATACTCGATGGGCCATTTCTGTGTTGTACCCTTCTATGATTCTCTCACAATACACTTGAGCGCTATTCACTGGAACTTTAAACCAGCTCCCATTGCTTCTCATGGTTGTATTGGGCTCAACCATGATGCCACCTTGTGGTCAAATAACCTGCCATCCGTTAGTCATGGCTCACAGGTGAAGGAAGCTGTAACCCTTTGAAATGTAAAACGATTCAAACACCTACAAGGAACATAGGAACAGGAGTAGGCCATTCAGCCCCTCGAGCCTATACCTTCATTCTATTAGATTATGGCTGATCTGTACCTCAGCCACCTTTACTCTATATCCCTTGGTACCCTTACCTAACGAAACCATTTCGACCTGAGTCTTGAAAATTTCAGTTGATCCAGCATCCACAGCTTGTTGGGGGAGAGAGTTCCAGATTTCCACTACCCTTTGTGTGAAAAAGTTCTTCCTGGTTTCACTCCTAAATGGCCTAGCTCTAATTTTAAGTTTATACCTCCTGGTTCTGGATTCACCCCACTAAAGGAAATAGGTTCTCTGTATCTACGCTATCAAAAATCCCTTTAACATTTGAAACACCTGAATTACAAAGAAATGGAAGAAATATTGACCTGGAAGAAATATTGACCAGAAAGAAAAAGATTTGCCCCTGTGCACTCACTCACTGCTTTTTTGCTGAGATAATTACCCTATATAGAGCACTATTTAAATGTAAGTTGTTGTTGCCCTGTTGAGCTCCTCCTACTTTTACTACAAAAACAGACGCCTATTCCAAGTAATGATTCACAAGCTTTTTAAATCTCTTTAAATCTCTTCCCAGTTCCTTTGGAAGCGGAAGTTTTCTAAAGTTAGCCACTGGGATTGAAGTTCAGAGCAGAGCTGCAACTTACGTTTCTCACCAGGTTTCTGCTTCTCCTTAGGGCTGTTTGAGCAGAGGGTTGAGCAGTACTTGGAGGAGCTGCCGGACACAGAACAGAGCGGAGTCAACAAATTCCTTAAGGGTCTTGGTGAGTGCATTTTTACCCACAAATTTGTCAAGAGATCCTCTTAACTTGGCTATCAGAGAGAGGAAGGTAAGATGCCATTGCAGTGATACTGTAAACAGCCGGATTGCCTAGATTCCTTTCAAGCTGTACTGTACTTTGCTGTCTTCTGTATTGTTTCCATATAAGTTTGGGTTAAAGCTGAACAATTTCAATTATACACGTGCATTGTTTGCGAACAGATGGGACGGCTTTCGACAGGCTGCACCTTCTAAATGTGTAGCAGCCTTCATGCCTATGACGAGTCTCTGCTGACGTCTTGGGTAGGATGGAGATGAGGCAGACCTCCAAAGGCAGAGGGGAAAAATAAAGAGACACTCTAAACCATCTTTATATGAGCCCTGAGAACAGTCATCTGACCTCATGACTAGTATATATGTAGTGGATGACAAGAAGGGTGGGAACAAACTATTAGTTTATAAACAATTACATTGTCCATTTTCCAACAAAAACATGTCCACACGTCAGACCAGGAAACCCCAGTGAGGCACTAAAGGGATGTTGTTACGGAATAATATTTTTACACGTATTTCATTGGGGCTAGTATTTCATTCCATCTAAGTAGTTAGCACAGCCAAATGATTTAATGCTCTGAATGCCTCCAGTGGTGAAACTTCTGTAATTGAACTAATCTGGAATTTTTAATTTCTCTTGTAGGAAATAAAATGAAATTCCTTCACAAGAAGAGTTAGTTGTGTTCAGACTGTCTTGCGGGGTTTTGTGGTGAGAAAAACGGCTGAACCTCACACAAGAACTTTGTAAATCCTTGACATTTCAGGCAGTGGATCAATACTGTGGTTTCTTCCTGCTCTTCACCTAAAGACTGAATATAATGGTATCAGAGAAGAATCCGAATCTGCAACAAGTACACTTAAAACTTGGGTCATCTTCAGTGCATATCGGATTGTATATTGTAAATATATCCCTATGGGTATTTTATTGACCCGATTTAGAAGTCATTCCGCTGAATATCTGCAAACAGATTGCAACAAGTTCTTTTCATGCCCGAGACACTTAACAGGAGTATGAATGGTACAACGAGACATGTGCAGAGGACTTATTGTGTGTGTAAAGAGAAAAGCCACACTGATGTGAAAAGGTGCCATTCACAAAGAATCCGAGTGGTTGGCGATGTGATCAGAGAACGAATGTGGCCCGTCTGACTGAAATAGCCCAATCCTGCACTGTATAGAAAATAATGAAGTATCAATTCTACTCTTCCTATAGCTAAAGTTCTGATTGTATTGTTCATTTTTCTTTCTGCATACAAACAAATGTGATAAATTTACACTGAAAATATGTGGTACTTTTTTAGGGGGAGGGAGGGGCTTCAAACTACATAGGCTGTCATGGAAGAGGGTGATGAATAAGTCACAAACTCCTTCATGTATGTTATGCACTGCTGTAACTGAAGAGTAGCAAAGGGCTGTGCAGAGCCTTTAAACTCTGCCACTCACAGCATCATTGGGCAAGGCTCAACACATTTTTTATGTACTGCTTCTTTTGAAAAAAAATAAAACACATTGGGTAATGGTTTTACATCTTTTAGGAATATAATCAAAAATAGCAGAATTCTTTGTTTCAAGTTGTAATAAGGTATTATTTACAGGATTTAAGTTTTCTAAACAAGCTTTTCCTCAAGATATACAGCACCACCTGGAGGCTAGGCTGTGAACAGAGCCATTTATGATGTGGAGTCATAAATGTCTCAAACATTACAGCAATGATTTCCTACAATTTCATTACCAAAGATGATTGCAGGTTCAGCACTGAGATGAAGCTGAACCTATTGTAATGGCACGCTTAGGGAATGATTGAATGATCCCCCCATCAATGTTTGATAAATGAAGCTTAAGAGACATTGAAAAGTGACGGTATGTTTTATTCTTGCACCCAGAGTCCAAAGAGTTTATGCCATTAATACACATGCCCCACCAACTTGTTTGATTTTCTCTTCTGCTTTCCTGCTGAAGAACTTGGCCTTGACAATGAGAGGTTGCTTAGGCAGCCTTCCCTTGCCCAGAACTTTGTAGTATCCCTACAAAGGTGAAAAAGCAAATAAGATTTGTAATGAAACAAGTTCCCCTCAATCCACCCCCCATCTAGAATTTCTCAAGTGTGAACAGTGATTTTCCTGAAGCAGAATCCCTGTATTTCAGATATTGCACACATCTTAAGATGATCCAAGCAATGGGTCACGATTTAGGTCAGCAAAAACAAAAACAAATGCGATACACAGCAACCCTTTCAATCCCACTCACCAGCCCTTTCCCCATATCTCTGAGGCTTATATGTGTACAGCAATGGAAAGAAGAGTTGTGGAAACCATACCTACCACAGTCATTAATTTTCCACAAGCATACAAATAAAACATCTTAAAGATGTTTTAAGATACTGTGTGAGAATGCTGCAAAAGCACAGCCGCCCAAAAGAATCACTTCTTGCTTGAGCAAGGGAGAGATTCTAGGTGGATGTCAATTTAGGGAAACTTTAATTTAATTAAAACAAATATTTCTTCCACAAAGCAGGGAAAAAAAATGGACAAAAGGGCAAATTTCAAATAAATGATATTCACAACAACATTGATAATGTTACTAAGCTTGTGTCCGACTGAGCTATAAGGAGCTTCAGCCAGTGAATAAACTAGTAGACACTCTTCGAAAACTATAGCACACCAAGACAACAGCATGTGTCAGGATGTGACTCTAGTCTCGGGACCTTATAATTAGGTATTGAACACAAATGGACTTTGTTTTACAATAGCCAGATAGTGTTAGAAAGAATCAAATGCTGTTAAGTTCTTATTAAAATAAGTTACACTGTGCTCATCAAGAGTACAAACTAAGCCAATAAGCAGTCAAAGAACACTCACAGCATGTACAACATTAATGACGGGAGCTGGTCCATCGGGCTTTTTGCCATAGTTTACCCTGGTCTGTTCACTGACCAGTGTCCACAGCTTATCCAGATTGATGGTAGGACAAAACAACTGATTCTTCTTCAAGTGGAAATGTCTCATACCAACTTTTCCAAAGTAACCTGGATGACTGGATGAAAAGTAAGAAAGTTCAGAAATTAATAGCTGTAAAATCAAAATCTTTCATCAGAACAAGAAAAACATTTTCATGAGTCACAGCCTGAGTAAAGTGCCAATGGCCTTATTTAGCTAAAGGCAGAATCTACATGATCCCATCTACACTGGGTAAGAATCAGGAGCATGAATTGGTCAATTACATCATCCCAACATAACCAAGATTGAACTACAAACACCCAAGTCATTTCAACTCCAGAAATGAGTTATATTTTATTGATTAAAATCCCAAATACAGCTATCAAGGCAGACAAATGTTGATCAAAGGGACCGTGTTGCGTGAGTCCTTTCTCCTCTGGCACTGAATCCAGTCCACATTAATGAGATTAACATCTTCTGCCTGCAAGATTCCATGAACAACTTTGGATAGCCTCAGTCAAATGTCATTCTGGCACTGAGGTGAAGGCTAAAGTGCATCACTGGTCAAGACTAGTGTGCACACTTGGAAGCCATTGTCTGACTGTCCAACTGGGGAAGTCTTCGAGTACCGATAATGTACATGCCCCCTCAAACCACAATACAAGTTAACTCATACTGGACAGTTAAATTAACAGATTAGCCTATTAAATTATTAAATATTCAAACAGGAATGGATAAAAATATCAACCCATGTAAAGAAAAGAAATGCCCCTTATGTGCCAGAGCAGCAGTCAGGTTTATGAAGGTACATTAGGACACAAATGTACTTAAAAAAAAACTATTTCAAGAGTACACTGTCAATTCAATTTTTAAATAAAATTAATGTCACTAATCTGGTGACTGACTGGGCTATAAGAAGCTGCAGCCAGTGAATAAGAACAGTAGATATTCTTCGAGTACTATAGCACACCAGGACAACAGCAAGTGTGAGGATGTGACTCTAGTCTCGGGACCTGATAAAACTTGAGGAACCTTCAAACAGGTTTACCAGTAATGGTCCCCCCCACCCCCATCAATAGGAGAAAACAAAATAATCAGTGGTTCTGTGCCTAGAACCTTCTCAAAAATATCACTTGTGTTCAGTGCTTTTTGATCGACCCGCTCATCCAAATTGCAGATAGCATGAGACAAAGCATCAGTTATTTAGGACAACACCTACTATTTGTCGAAGTTGATTCTGTGGTGGTGCATTCCACCAGCATTACCCCGACCACCAGGATGCTTCCTGTGCTTGCCTGTGGACAGCAGAAAATGGGGTACCCTTAGCATTTGGAACATGAACTCAAACCAATGAAAGAACGAATGGAAGAAACTAGGCTGTAATTTACTACTCACCAATACGGCCATGGCCGTGGCTGACATGTCCTCGTAGCTTCCTGGTTTTTCTCAGTTTGGATGGCTAATAGAAACAATGTGATAAAACATGCACAACATTCAGCAATCAGTTGTATTGAATGTAGTCATCCAAAGAGTCATAAGACAGACACTAAAGGATATTGAGCAGTTTCACACGTCAGCCAAGACGAACATACGAGCACAAGACCTATCCATGCCCTGTATCACGTCATTGCAATCCCCATTAAGTGCATAAACACAAGTCCTATTGACTTAAATGAACAGAATTATACAGATTCAATATTCAGAAGTCATTCAACAGGTTAATTAATTAGATCAATGGGGAGAGGGAAAGAATATTATACCGCGTCCACTTCAGCCTAAGTTTCAACTCAATCCAGATCAGACCGGTTAATGAGTTTACATCTAATACAATAAAAGGCAGGACAAGAAGTAGCTGCATTGGGGGAGTCCTGCAGCTCAGCGGTTGGAGCCCTCGCCTCGCAAGCGAGAGACCTGGGTTCGATTCCTGGCAGGGCAAAAAGTTGGGCAAGTTTCCGTATGCCACACGTCTCCGTTTTCTCAGCAGTAAGTGGGAACCCGGTCGTTAAGATGATTAAGCGGATCGCTTTTCCCGGAGGAGGAGGAGGCGGGGAGGGGTAATAATTCCTTCCAAAAAAATTGGGTCACTTCCATCACGGCTGTCTGTGGGGGCGCTGCCTTGTGCGCAATTGGCTGCCGTAGTTTCCCCCACAAAGTGCACAGTCAATTCGCTTCACAGTATATTCTGCGAAGCGCTTTGGAGACGCTTCGAAGATGCGATAAAAGCGCTATATCCGCCATTTGGAGGTACAACATGGTGGGCGGGGGGTGGGGGGGTGCACTTACAGGCTGGACATCACTCTGCGGCGGCACACGGGATCCTACCAAGTGAGGAGGCCCCAAAGCGGGGGCCCGGACAGGGCCGCACTGGTCGGACTCAGCCCCGCGGACAGGGGTCCCCCATTGAAGCCCCAAACACGCTTCGGCCTCTCGGGGTTGATGATACCGGGACTTCAGCTCCAGCAGCTCTCCCTCCCCCTCTCTCTGGCTCTATCCCCCACCCGGAGCCGCCGCCGCGTATTCACCCCCAGGCCGCGGAAAGCCTTAATTCACTAGGCCCTCACCGCCGAACAGAGACGAGTGGCGGCCTCCGCTTCGAAGCCCAGTCCGCCTCTCCCCGCGGGCACTGCCCGGGCAGACAGAGGAGGCGGCGGCCAGGCCAGGCCGCGGGCCACCGGCACCATCCAACGGGCGTTTCACGGCCGATGGCATCGGATGCGGTTCGCTTCGGCCTCGGAGACACAGCGCCACGGTACCTACCATCTTGCCGGATGACGTAGAGAGGAGCGAGCTCGGGAAATCTCGCGAGATTGAGACCATTGGGGGCGGGGGACGGGGGTAAGACACGCCCACTCCTCGGCCCTGGCTCCGCCCCTCCCACCATCAGCCCCGCCCCCTCTCCCCCTCAGCCCCGCCCCCTACCTCCCTCAGCCCCGCCCCCTCCCTGTGCCACCAGGAAGTGGTGGCTCATTAACAAAGGGGCACATGGGCAGAGCACCCACTGCACCACAGCACTGCACAGCACTGCACTGGGGGAGGGGGTGGGGTAGGGGGGTGGGTGGGTGGTGGTCACTGTGCTGCTGCTGCTGCTCAGCACATCTCTGTACTCTCTTTCCTAAATCGCTCGGAGAAACCTTAAAAAATATTGGAATAAGAAAACGAGCGGCAATTAAGAGTCGAGGTACGGATCAGCCTCGATCCGAACGGAATTGCTTCCCTCTCTCTTTTATTTGGGTCAGCCTTGACGCGTGCAGAAAGCCGCCGCCGCCGCCGTTGCTCAAGGAGCGTCCGAGCCAAGCTGGGAGTTCCAGGCCGTCCCACCCGGGCGTGGAAGTCCCAGAGGTGGGATCGTTGGAATGGAATGCGCCTTCTCTCTCCCTGGAGGGAGGCATCCGGCTTACCCAATTCTGGAGAGTATTAGGCGCGGGTTGACGAGCTCAAGGCTTGGGGACACCAGAGTGTGCTTTGGGGTTCTGTTTGAATCTAACCAGGTAAAAGTGCGTAGCTTGACATTGAATATTGCTGTCCGGCAAGCTTTCCCGCTGCTCGTCCAGTCAGCTAGGACCACCCTACCCGTGAGGGCTTTGGCATGCAAGGTTAACAGGAGCTGAGTGAAATGACTCCCTGCCTCCAGTAATTCATAATAGAATGGCGGAACTGGCTCGAGGGGCTGAATGGCCTACTCTTGTTCCTATATATAAGGGTGCCAGCCTGGTTCAGTTGCTGGCACGCTCATTTCGTGTGTCAGAAGGTTGTGGGTTGAAGCCTCCACAGTCCAGGCTGACAAAGTCACAGTCCAAAGCAGCGCTATGGGAGTGCTGCCCTTTTGGATGACGTGTCAAACAGAGATCCTGTCTGCCTGATACTATGACACTAAGATCCCATGACACTATTTTAAAAGAGAAGGTTGTCCCTCTTTGTGGCCTGGCCAACAATTCTCCAGACAAAATTGATCATTCACATCATGGCTGTTTGGGGGACAAATTGACTGCTGCACATGCATAAAAATACAGTCACCATATTTTTTGGTGAATCCTGTGAAGTGCTTTGAGAGTGCCTTGTTGTGAAAGGTGCTGTATCAAGTGCAATTATAGGATTATTATTACTATTTAGTTACAGTACTGGATGGTGTGGTGAGATGGCATTCCATTATGTGCTGCTGAGTTGTAGGTCTCACCTGTACCACTGTGGAGTGGGAAAATAAGAGATCAGTTAATTCCATATATTACAGAGAGAGAGAGAAACCAACAATAACTTGCATGTACATAGGGCCTTTCAGGTAGGATAATGTCTCAAAGCTTTTAAGATGGAATTGGACAAATATATCAAACAGAAAAATATAAAAAGGTACGGGGGAAAAGGCAGGGAAATGGGACTAAATGAATAGCTCTTACAGAGAGTCGGAGCAGGTTTTCTTCTGTACTGAATGCTTCTATGACTTTATAATAATATATAATAATCCTTGCATTTGATATAGCGCTTTTTCACATCTTCTCGACGTCTCAAAGCGCTTCACAGAATAGACTGTAAAGTGAATTGACTGTATATTTGTGGGCGAAACGCGGCAGCCAATTGTGCACAGCAGTGTCCCACAAAAAGTCGTGGATTAAAAATGACCAATTTATTATTGTTTTGTTTTGGAGGGATGTGGTTTAGAGGGATTTGGAGAGATTTGTTTAGGCATGTGGAGTAAGGAAACTTGTCCAAGGTTTCGCCCTGCCTGGAATTGAACCCAGGTGTCTCGTTTGCAAGGCAAGTGCTCTAACCACTGAGCTACAGGACTCCTTTATGAAGGACTTGATGCAGTTAGACGTGCATCATCAAGAAAATATTTGTGGGGGAGGAATGGTGGCCTTGTAGTTTCCGTTCATTAATGAGATTCTGAGATCAGGTAGCCTCTCCATTCAATTCAAATGTATCCCATCTATATCTCTTTTAGTTCTTCACCCAGAAGGGGTCCACAGTACTCCAGGCACTGATGATGACGGATCAGCCAGTCTACCTCACTGGTTGAACTTGCGGGAACAAACTGCACTGAAGGTAGGAATTCTTCCCACTCAGCTCCTGTTAATCCTGCAAGTCAAAGCCCTGATGGGTGGTTCTAACTGGACAAGCAGACACTGGCCAGACTTCCAAGGGCAAGATATGCAGGTTCAGCAGGCTAACCTCCAGCAGTACTCCAACTCACCTTGGCTCTTGCCATCCTGCATCTAATACTGTCCGGAATTAGGTAAGTAAGATGTGTTCGCCTAGCATTCGATTCCAAACACAGGACTTTCCATGAATAGAACTCATGCACGGAACTCTCAGCTTGGTATATATATTCTTAAATATCATGGTGGGTCTCCACATGTGTCAGACATCCGGCTGACCAAAAAAGAGTTGTTCATTTAATTAAAGTAGAACAAATGTAAAGAACAGGATTAATAAATCAATCCAGATTACTCTCATCATAAAACGGTAATGGTGACAAGAAAGAATAATTGTTCACCTGAGGTTCAGAGCAACACTCATTCGTCAAAGAGTCCAGCCAAAAACTATGAATCCTCCCGTGTAAATCAATACAGTGATTAGCATCCAGCTGGTCTGTGTTTTCACAGAGTTCTTGCTTGGTCCTAATGTTCCAAATGCCTTTGAATTTCTAGACTCCGTCAAAGATTGCACATCTGCATCTCAGCTTTTACTTCTCACAAGGCCATCTATATTCTACAGATATCAAGATTCTACTTCTTGGTGTCCATTTTTACTGATCTTCAAAAGAGTGCTTTTCCTTCCTGCAACTTGGAGTACACCAAGGTCTTCAAGAGATTGAATCTCATCTAACTTCACCAGTGTCTTCACCAGCAGAACTCAATGTTTCTGCCCTGAGCAGTGCATCAGCACAACTGAAATTGTGAATGTATGTTAACCCATGTAGTCAAAGAATTATTTTAAATCAATGGTTATAAATCCTTATGTTGAATAGATACCATTTTGATTAATAGTTAAAAATAATGATGTAGGCTAGGAAAATGTCAAGATGACTTGTTTATCATAGCTGAAGGTTGTTGAGGATGTTTTCCATAACACATTCACGTTTTAATTAGTGTGTTAAAGATCCTGCCTGTGGAAAATCAATTATAAAAGATGTATGGCTGAACTATACTTTGTTCAGCCTAGGACACAGCATATCAGGTGCTGTCCACACAAGAGCCAACTTTCATGTGACAATATGAAGTGGTGAAGCAAATGTGTTGTCTTCAAAGTTAAATTCTGTCAGACTTGGACTGTTCCATCGTTTCATCAATTTTTAGTGACTCCAGCAATTTCAGGAAGAAGGAAAACTGCAGAAATTCCAGAACGGCTGAAATTGTGTGGAATGTAACGGGAGGAGAAGGATAACAACGTATAACAACTTTCGAGTACAGTACACAGCTCAGCAGTACACCACTGAAGATTCAACTTTGATTTTGTGCTCAACAAACCCAAGCAAGAAGTTTCGGGTCTGAATCAGGAGACTTTTCAATGATGCAAGACTTTTGCCTGCTGTTTGGTAATTTTACCAACCGACTCCATCAAAGAAGTAAAATTCATATGGTTTATGGACTGAACAATTGTCGATTTATTTACTTTAGTACAAACATTTAGGTATGTGATTGAATTGGTTTGCTGTATTGTGATAATTGAACTAGCATTTTACATTTCTTATTAATTAAAATACATTTTCAAAGCATGAGTTGCTGAGTGTCTTTGGTTCCTCTGTTCTTGGGTCCTTTATTAAAAGTGGATTGAGCAGAATAAGTCGGTCTTATTCTGTTCATTGCCCAGAACCCAACAATATATGTGGTAACTGTTTCATTTCTTTATAATGGTATAAATACAAATGAAACTTAACTGTTTAGCGGATAGTAGAGTGGTTCATTTGAATTATAGTTCAAACCACAGCACAAACAGTGAGAGCAAAGGTTGAGATATTTACTGTTTACCATCATTAAAAGCATTTTAATTAGCTTAATTTAGAAATTGGCTGCCACGTTTCACCCACAAAATACACACTTTACAATATATTCTGTGAAACGCTTTGAGATGTCTCAACGACATGATAAAGCAATATATCTAATGCAAGGATTATTGTGTTATATTATTAATTACTGTTAATTTGCTGGCACCTGGTACAGTATTACAATCCTTTGTCAGGTGAAGAGGGGATGATGGCAAGAGTGATGGTCAAGGAAGCAAGTGACCACTATGTTTGTCTGCAAAATAATTACTACATATGGTGGGAGTTACCTATAAACTGCTTTGGGATGTTTTGATATTTTAGGCACTACATCAAATGGATGATTATTATATTTATATTATATTGCATTATTAAGCATGTGGATTCAAAGTAAAGACAAAGTGCGCAAAGAAAGAGAGACTCAGCAAGCTTTAGCTTGTCACCCACCACATCCTTATAAAACACTGCAGCACCAGATAACAAGCCAGTTTAATGTGAGGTTGCTGAGACAGCAAGTTCCAGGTCAAGATGTTGTTTCTGAAAGGGTTAAAAAAAAGGTTTGGTGTGTGTGTGTGCATGGGTTGGGGGCGTCTTATTCTCAGACCCAGCCTCTTGTAGGATTCTGTAATTAATGCGTTGAGTAATATCTCAAATTATATTTGCGATGTTTATATTTTTGAGACTTACAATCAATCTCATAAGATATGATGGAAGTTGGTTGTGACTAGCTTCGTAGAAGAACCTTTCTCAAGGATGAGAAACAAAAGACTGTTTATAAACAACAAACTATTTTTGTTCCTTATCAGTCACTTTCTTATGGAAAAATGGTCTGCAGCTGCTTTAACATGGGAGAGAGCAATATAGCGTTTTGTTTCACAAAGGAACCATCTTGCAAAAAACAATAGGTTTGAAAGGTCACTTACACGACTGTATAAACGGAGATCGATTCGAAAAGAGAATCAGAAGAAAGAATTGGGAAGAGAGAATTGGAAAGAAGAAATAAAGAAATTGGAGTTTGGAGTCGTGAATTATATTCCAGCTTCTAAAGAAAGAAGATCTTTGATTTAAACAACAGTCAACATCAAAATATTAACTGGATACTTTTGGGAGATCGAACTGAGAAATGTACATTAATACCTGGATACTTTTGGGTGATTGAACTGGGAATCGTACAAGAATACTTGGATACCTTTTGATGGACATTAAAAAGGACATATTAAAAAGCGACATTTTTTGGACATTGCTCCTCTATCTCCTGTAGCATTTGGTTTGATCAACTTAAATCATTGTGAACTGTACGTGGATACGTAAGCATTATTGTGATGTATTCTTTGAATTAATAACTATTATTAATCCGAATTAATAAACCTTGATTAATTGTACAACACTTGTGTCAGTCCTTACTTCACCGCAGGGTCATGAATTTTACAAATCGTTACATTCTTTGTAACTAATTGCATAAATACACAGAATGGTAAATACAAGATAAAGATTGTCTTATTTTTCGCACACAAAATACACCATCAATCCACTTTACAGTATAGCCTGTGAAGCTCTTCAACGACGTGAAAGGTGCTATAATCAAATGCAAGGATTGTTAATATTATTATTTTCATCCAATGCAGATTACCAACTGATGAAAGGGCGAGTTAAGAAGAGCAGTCACTGGGAATGTGTCAGCAAGACCCCAGCCCGGACCACAAGAAATTACATTTGGTAAAGTAACATTCCTATCCTCCCCCCATCCCTTCCACCACCACCTCCTAAATTTAACTAATCCCTGAGCAGATGTCAGAGGTTTATTAAAAATTACAGCATCAACCAACACCCCCACCCCTTCCCCCTCCAGCAACAACAAACAGCACAACTCAACAAGCTTCGGGGGACAAACATCCTTTTAACAGACATCAAATGCAGAGATTATTATTATTACTATTATTATTATTAAAATGACCTTTGCAAATGGTCTGGTTGGAAACAAAATCATGGAAATCAAGAGCAACTGACTTTTCTTTATCTTGATGTTTTCTATTTTGTGGGGATGGGGCGGGGGGTGTGGGGGAGAGAGAGAGAGGGTTGAAGAACATTGTTGTCTCCCCTCTCTCCTTACCTGAGCCCCCCCACCCCACCTGCACCCCACCCCCCACCCCCCATCACTGAAGAGCATCATTACCAATAAATGGGTAACAGTTACATAAAATCATAAAAATAATAACAAAATAATAAATCGATCATTTTCAATCCACGACTGTTTGTGGGGACCCCACCGTGCGCAAACGGCTGCCGCGTTTCGCCCACAAATATACGGTCAATTCACTTTACAGTCTATTCTGCCAAGCGCTTTGAGTCGTCGGAGAAGACGTGAAAAGCGCTATATCAAATGCAAGGATTATTATTATTATTATTATTAATATGGCATTTGCCCAGGGCAGCTGTCTGAACGTCATTGCCATTTCAGCCCAACCTCATCAGCTGACAGCACAGCCCAGTGATTGAGCAAAAAAAAAAGGGGGAGATAAGAGCCATTGGAGAGAGGGCTTTACAGGCAGCAGCAAAGGCAAAGACAACACAGGACAGGACAAACCTAACAAGGAAACCCTAATAAAAGGCAGTCTGGCCACTTTGGGAAGGTGGCATCCCTGCCAGACCTTTTTTTCCCCCTCTCTCTTCTTTTTTTCTCTTGTGGTGGTGGTGTTGGTTGTTGTCGTCGTCGTGATGGTGGTGGTGTTTTGTGTGTTTTAATTCTCTCGGGCAATGAGGTCATTGATTTAAATGAGCAACAATTTCGAGTGGCTGCTACAATCCAACAGAGAGAGAGAGAAGGAGGAGGAGGAGAGAGGAGAGGGAGTGTGTGAGTGAGAGAGAGAGAAAGAAAGAGAGAAGATAAGAGGCAACAGAGAGAGAGAGATAGAGAGAAGATAAGAGGCAACAGAGAGAGAGAGAAAAGAGGCAACAGAGAGAGAGAGAAGATAAGAGGCAACAGAGAGAGAGAGAAAAAAGAGGCAACAGAGAGAGAGAGAGAAAAGAGGCAACAGAGAGAGAGAGAGAAAAGAGGCAACAGAGAGAGAGAAAAGAGGCAACAGAGAGAGAGAGAGAAAAGAGGCAACAGAGAGAGAGAGAGAAAAGAGGCAACAGAGAGAGAGAGAAAAGAGGCAACAGAGAGAGAGAGAGAGAAGATAAGAGGCAACAGAGAGAGAGAGAGAGAGAAGATAAGAGGCAACACAGAGAGAGAGAGAGAGAGAGAGAGAAGCTCTTGCAAAGCCAGGGATTATATAAAGGGATGAGAGAGATAGAGAGAGTGAGTAAGACAGACAGACAGACAGACAGACAGAGAGGGAGAGAGAGAGCTCTCACCAGCAAAGGAGTGAGTTATACATAAAAGAGGAGAAAGAGAATTAAAAAAAAAGAGAAGCAGAAAGTCCCAGACTGGAGAAAAAGAGGGGGGGGAGAAAAAAAGAAAAAAAAACCATGGACCAAAGTGTCCAGGACCTGGAGAGCTGCGGGGATCCCAGTGGGGGAGAGGATGAGCAGATGAGTCACTCCCACCTGGAGCTGCGGAACCTGCTCCGAAACTGCGTGGTGTGCGGACGGGAGCTGACAGATCGCGAACCCCGACTCCTGCCGTGTCTGCACACCTTCTGCAAGGACTGCCTCCCCACCGGCATCCCCGGCCCCGACCCCCCCACCACCAGCACCAGCAGCACCAGCAGCACCAGCAGCAGCCGCCCCCCCGAGCAGGAGAACAGCGAGGAAGAAGGTAAAGAGGACGGTGCGGGAGGTGGGGGGTTAAGTGCAGAGACGCGCAGCATCAGCACCACATCACATCACCTGCGGTGGTCCTCATCCTAACACGTCCATCCATCCATCCATCCATCCACACACACACACACTGCACCTGCCCTCTCTCCTCTCTCTTTCTCCTCCCCCCCCCCCTCACACACACACACACACACTGCACCTGCCCTCTCTTTCTCTCTCCCCCCCCCCACACACACACACACACTGCACCTGCCCTCTCTTTCTCTCTCCCCCCCCCCCCCCCCACAACACACACACACACACACAGGGTCTGAGGGACTTTGCAACGAACATCACAACACCTGATTCCAATAACAACTTTTAAGAGCGAAGTAGTTGGGGTGTTTTTTTTTTTCCTTTGGGGGGTGGGGGATGGGGGGTGGGGGATGGGGGGTGGGGGTAGGACGGGATCGCAGGTGCGGCGGAGAGAAAGCGGGCTCCACTGGATTGGTGTTGGGCTGCTCTTCCCGGAGCCGGCCCCGGACGCGATGGGCCGAATGGCCTCTTTCAGTGCTGTACGGTTCTTCGATTGCGCGATCAGACACGACGCAGTCCAGCCCCCCCCCCCCCCCCCCCCGTGGTGTCTTTTTTTCATATTGTTATTGTTGTTGTTGTGATTTCCCACCCCAGTGCAAACGAGTGCGCAGTATATTGCAAAAACAAAACACTTGCCAAACTGACAGCTTGTTAATCCAGTGTGTGTGTATGTGTTTTGTTTTTATTTAAATGGAAATCGACAGAACTCTTTGCAAGCCAAGTACTGTACAATCCTATCCGCGGTAAATTTGCTTCCACTGTATTTGTCTTACCACAAACTTTCTTTCCCTCGCTGTTCCCGAATATAATGGTTCTTCCACTCCATTGGGAAGCTCAGACTTTTTGGACAAACCAGCTATTTGATTATAAAAATCTGCTGTACATTAGAGCCTCACATTACAGACCTCTCTCTGTCGGGGTCACCCAATGGGAGATCCTGCACGAGTCACAAGATCCTCCAGCCAAATTTGTTTAAATGTCTGAAATTTTTTTTTATCCTTGAGTTGATCTCTGAGATCAGTTGGTGTCTTAGCCTAATGGAACCCAGGGTGAAGGAAGCATGTTCCTGGCACAAACCTGCCTTCAACTTTTATTCCAGCTGCCAGTTGACTTGCATAAGGTTTATTTGGTGCTCGCTGCCAGTTTATAACAAAGGAGTATTTCTATTTACCACACCAAAACATTGGTAATACAGTATGATCATCTTCAATGAATACCAAGTAGGACTTTGGCTCAGGGTTCAGACAAGCAAGTCTCTCTGAAAAGCAATCAACCCTGGTTCTCTATCAACTGTACCTTGGTTTCTTGGTTTACTGGCTGAACAGACCTGCCTGATACTGTATGTCTCCTTGAAATTAGTTTACTACAAGGAGCTGCCTCCAGTCCTTACCAAGTGGATTTTGGTTTCATATACGCTCCCACCCCCAAACAATGTGAGTCACTAAGGGGATTCGATGAGACTCAACCTCAAAATCGTCTTGTCTTAAGTCTGGTCAATTCTCAGCTAGCCTGCGCTACCAAGGATATTATTTAAAATCAGATGTGTAAGTTGAAGAGGGAGAGTATGACTCTAGCTGGTAATTATGAACACTGAAGTGCATCTCATTTTTAATAAACTTAATATGTTTAATAAGGTTATTGTTGGACAAGTAAGCGGAGAGCATCAGATGATGCTTTCGGCATCCTGAATTTATATATACTGTATATTATATATATATTTGTATTATACACATATATAGGTGTAAAGAATAATTTACTTTAAAAACAAACCATTGTACACAGACCACCCTTTGCCATGTGAATGTCTCAGCAGGAACATTCAGCATGTTCTGCCGGAATATTGGATGATGGTAAATCTTTTGAGTAAACTTTTAAATTTATTGCCTCTTCTCGATAGCTGTAACTCAGGTAATCTGTAACAGGGCAGGCTGCTTGCACTGTTACAGGAAGCGTGCTTATGGAAAAAAGAAACATGCATCAGGTAAACTTTCCCTTATCTAGATACCATAAGGCAGAAAAGAGTGGTTAGCTATAAATTCCAATGTCAGCCTGAAATGTGGGTTTTAAATGTCTTAAGCAGCAAGAAAATCCCAACCTACTTAGATAGCTTAGCCTTTTCTTGGGAGTTAGACATTTAAAATCATATCTAGAATATATCCAGACTCTCGGATCTATTAAATGATGAAGTCCCTTCTTATTCTGCATGTATGAACCAGAGCTTTGGCCAACTAGCTTTGCATTAAGAAACATCTTGTAATGGAGATGGAAGAAGGAAGCAGTGAAACTGACAGAACTGATTTCCTAACCTAGATTCACTTCAAATTAATTAAGATGATGTGTATAGTGTAGTATGACATGCATGGGAGTGTTCCAGCAGCAGCACAGATTTACTTAAACCGGCATTGATTTAATGAACTCTGTGGGGGATATGTATGAACTATTCCCATTGTGTCTGTAGCTTATCTTGATTCCCTATTGATTCCTGTGATTTATCAAATGGTTCTGCTGTATTTATGTTTGTTTAATTTTTTTTGATTTTACGTAACGGCAGCAATTTACAAATCAATACCAAATGGATCGATATACTGTAGTACTTAAGTTGTCTGCTGTCATCTCAATGCCGTTGCTTAAAATATGCTGGTGTGATCTGGACTGCTCATGTCAGTTTTGGGGTATCTCGGCCTAACAGTGAGTCAAAAGAAGGCTCTGCAGATTAAAAACAACAACAAGTTGCATTTATATAGCGCCCTCCACAACGGGCAGCATCTCAGAGCGCTTAACAATGGCGGAGCCTGAGGCCGAGCTAGGGGGAGGGGAAAGGTGCCTGTTAGACAAGTTTGTTTAATTTTTCTCCAATCTACTATTCCCCCTACCTACCCGCCCGTACCCTCCGTTCCTCTGGCTCCGGTCTGCTCCACATCCCCCGCTCCAACCGCCCTACCATCGGTGGCCGGGCCTTCAGCCTCTCAGCAAATCCATCCCCCAGTGCCTTCGCCGCTTCCTCCCTTTCCTCCTTCAAGGCCGGTCTCAAGACCTTTCTCTTTGACCGTGCCTTCAGCTCCCCTCTCGACTCTCTACCCCCTGCTAGCTCCCTCCCTTCCCTCCCCTCACCCTGACCCTTTCCCCCCTGTTCGGGTCCTGACCCAACTGTCCAGCGCCTTGGGACGTCCTCCCGACGTGAAAGGCGCTCTATAAATGGAATCTTGTTGTTGTTGGCGCGGTCGAAGAGGAAGAACTTCAGGCATGACCTGCAGATGAAGGAGAAGGGGGCGAAACGAAGGGGTTGAGGGAGGGAGTTCCAAAGTTCAGATGACAATGTGTCTGGTGATTTGCTAACTAGCACAGATTTTCTAGGCCATAAACGAAAGCCTCGATCTTATCATCTTTGTAAATGTCAATCGGATCATCAACTTGACACTAACTGTAAACCTTTTGAAAGGTCTGGGCCTCAGTTGCTCATCCACTGATCGATCACATTGGACCTCTCACATCAAATGTACAAAGTGAATCAGAATTAGTAGCATTTTCCAGATGGTGCCCACCACAAAATGTTTAATGCTGACTATTGTATGGCAACTTATTCATTTAGTATGCAAGATTTTCCATTTTTTTCACAGACAGATTATATAAACACTGTTGAAATGTTAACTTTGCTGCTCCCCTGAAGGATTGAGTCCACATTCCCTTTTCTGAAATCTGGTTCAAAATCAAGTGTCCCCCGCCCACCCCCTACATTTGCATAGAAACAGGTGTAGGCCATTCAGCTCATTCAGCTCCTGGTGCTATGTACCACAGTTTGGCCAGTCGCAACCCAGTTCTTGCTAGATGTGAGTCAACGACACACAAAATCTACAACTTTGCATAGATTGGCAATTGTGATCAGCGTTACAGATGTGGGAAATACAGTAGATTGATGAAGGGTTATTTCCAAGGACTATTTTTGGACCGAAATGGTCAGACTGTACTTCACGCGACCAGCAAGTGATTGGTGCTGGCTTTCGATTCCAATCAAATCATTGACAAAACATATTTACTTATGAATGCAGATGTTCTCAGAAGGGCACTAAGGTCTGGTAGTCGTGAAACAATACACAAACAGTGGCTTTATCCCTCAATTACTGAGAATTAGCTTGTTCCTTTGGCAACCTCCACTTTGAAGTTTATCCATTTATTTCATAAATAATTTGTGTGAAATCCTAATCTTTTCACTGCTGGCTTTGATTTATTTCAGTAGAAATTGAGCTTTAATCCCATCTGGATCATGGTCATAGAAACAGGAGTAGGCCATTCAGTCCCAGAAGCCTGTTCTGCCATTCTATAAGATCATGGCTGATCTGTACCTCAACTCCAATTACCCACCCTTGCCTTGTATGTCCCCCATATCCGTGCCATGACCTGCTCTGCCTTCACCCACCTCCGCAACATTGCCCGACTCCACCATTGCCTCACCCCTCAGACAGCTGAAATCCACATACAGGTATTCGTCACCTCAAGTCTCGACTACAGAAACTCCCTCTTTGTCGGCCTCCCCAACTCTTCCCTCCATAAGCCTCAGAACTCCGCAGCTCGTGTCCTCTCCCGAACCAGGCTCCATGACCCCATCACCCCCACCCTGGCATTGAGGGCTGGAATTGCAGCTATGTTGCTGGCAGGCCACAGGTTAATCCTGTGTCAAATATCCTCCATGTAATAGTAACACTGCTTTATTTTTTTTCCATTTTGCTCACTGTACTAACGTCAATGTTACTCGGGGACGTTCTAACACAAAAGGTGTTTTAACACCTCCCACATATTTACACCAGAGAGTGTTTGTTCTCCTTCCCTGAAGAGTTGTGCACCCTGGGAATAAATTTAGACATTGTGAGAGAGCAGGTGCTGCCTCAGCCGCAGTATATTTTAATATTGTGCCAATGACCTTGTTTA